AATAAACCAAGACCTCCAAAGTCAGACAGACTGATATATAATTCTAGAAAATTTCTTTTATTTTATATGCTGTAATAAAAAAATTGAGCGCGACTCTCCGTTTCATTATTAAAGATATCTAATCTGAAAATCTGACGGAGAGAAAGTCGGAGCGAAAGAAAGCGCTGGAGAACGAAGGTTAAAGAAAATGTCACTCTGCGATTTACTTTAACTGCTGTTACAGAACCTTATACACAATCGTGAGAAATCCACGCATATAATCGTAACGAGTTAGCGACCGTTTAGATAATAAATTGTACATTTCGCGCTAAATGATAGCCGAGATTCTCCGAGAGAGAGAGAGAGAGAGCAACTCCCTCGCGTGTCATTATCGTTGCCTGGAAATGAAGGAGGAGGGTCGGGTTCTCTCGAGTGCATTAGAAAAATATCAGGGCGATATTTCTTCCTGAACGCGCTGCTCGCCGCGCCTCTCGTAACGAGAACGAGAGAAGAACCCCCGAGGCTGGGGGGTGGAAAATGGGGGAGAAGAAAAATGCGATACGGAAGGTCCTGTTGCGCTTTTCCTGATGTCCGGAACTCCATAAAGCGAGTTAAGTCGGACGTATATACTGCTTTCGAGTCCGAAAGTTCGAGAAGTTGGCGCGTCGCGAGAATCTTAGAGTTTTGACTGCGTCATAACATAGGATAGACTTTTGATCTCAATCGTGTTGAGCAAATACTTGTTGCAGATATATGTATGTGGATTATAGAGAGGAAGAGATTTTAATTCTATTTAAGACGAATTATTATTTTGCTTTTCATTAAATTAATTAAATCCCGAAGATTTTCTTTAAAATAAAATACGTTATTTTCAATTGAATAAAACAGATTTGAAATTATTAATATGTGAGACGAGATACGTAAAGATATTCAAAGGAAATCAGAACCACGTAGATTTGAGAAGAATTGCAGGTTGCAATTGATATTTCCTACGGCTGTCAGCGAATATCTGTTATATGATTAATTCTTGATACTAAATGAGATTATGCTGAAATTAATTATTCGGATATTTTCAGTTTGGTAGATTGGAAATATTATCTTCAGATTTCATATATCGCGTATCGATTATGTATTGAGTTGCACGGTTCAGAGATATTCATTATTAAAAATATGGTAAAAATATACGTAAATTATTTGTGAATACAAACGTTTCCATTACAGAAAAATATTTACATTGATTTTAATATTTATGACATATTTTCTTGTATTTCATTTCTATTTTATTTTTACTGTTGAAAATGCTTAAAAAATGTAAATATTTTTTCTCTATATCCTTTTACTTTCATACGTATTAAATACATCCTTTGAATGGCGCTAGTATTATTAATCGTAATGATCATGTCGAAACGGTGATAAGTTAACAATAACATGCCACTCGATACATAATTTATTTTATGGAGAAATATAATTCAAAAAAATTGTCTGTAACAGAGGTTTACGTTCTTAACCAGTTCTTTCCGCTCGGAGAATTCTCGAATTTCCCATAAATTACCATAATTTCCCAACCCTAAAAAAAGGTCGCGCCCGAGATCGCATAGGATCCTCAAGTTCCACCCCGATTACGTCCATATCAGAGACGAGTTACAATTTACGAACGACTCGGCCGTCGGGAACGAGCGCATTTGCTTTCCATCGGCGTACGGGGAGAACACTTTTCACACCCTCGCTCGAAACACCATAAAGCAGCCGACGAGGCGGGAAGGTCGAGCGAAGTCAAGTTGGGTTAGGTTAGCGTCGTGAATGACGGAGGAGGGTCGCGTTTCGCCCCGATAAAGTTTGTTCGATCAGCCGTTAGTCTCCTTCTTATGGTCCCAAGCGCCCCTTATCGAGGCAAGCTTTAAGCTGCGTGTGTATATTTCGCGTGAGAAGTTCACAAGTTTTCGACAAAGGAAATATAAAAAAGCACGTACGTATCAGCGCTCAAAAGAAAAATATTAAAAATATAAAAAATGTAGGAAAACATGCTATATAAGCTTTCGCGATGAAAAATTACGGAATAAGCAGAATATATAAGCGCGATCGACTCGTTCTCTTTTCACCCCTTTTACTCTATATTAATTACGCATAAATTAATTTTTATCCGACGGAGAAAAAAAAACACGGATATTCACCTTGGAAAAATCGAGATCACCGTTCTCGTAATATTACGTACACACGTGCTGCTCGTACCTTTTCCCGCGGACTTGGAGGTCGGGCACGTTATGCCGGAAGCGTGCAACGGCCGCGGACGAGCGTTTAACTTTGTTCCGAAGTTCTCCAAGGTCGTGCCGGCGTGGCGCGGCGCGCCCGTTGTAGGTCGGTGGCACTGGAGTAAAGCAGCGAGAGAGAATTTCCCGAGGCCGCGTCATAAATCTCTATCTGCTGCCGGGGGTAAACGCTCGCGGGATAGACTTTGGCGACGACTGTAATTTCGCGCCACCGGGGTGTTGTCTCGCCGCCCCACGTGTACGCGAGAACACGTGTGTGCGGGAGTGCATATCTGTGTGCGTGCGCCCATAACGGTGAACGGTAAAGGATTTATCTGCCCTGTTTTTCTCCTTTCTTTTTCCTTTTTGTTCGCGCACGAACGAAGGGAGAGGGACGCGCTTATTGTTTCTCGGACGCGCTTCTTGTTAAATATGTTCGATGTGACGCGAGAGAACGCGCACTTTAATTTCTGCGTTAATTATTCCTATTTAATATTATCTTCGAAATATAACCACGCGCGCGCAATAATTAAAAACAGAGTGCAATGTTCGTTTTAGATTACATATATAGAGAAACTTTATCTTCATAATATTCATATACTTTGATAAAAATATTTTTAAATAGTCATATATATTATTATTTTCTACAGACATCATCTGTAAATCAAATTATCCTATATTTTTGCGTAATTTGAATCGGTGTAGAGCTTCAAGCTTCAAACGTGGAAACGATTAGAATACGCGTTAAACGCGACAAACAAGGTGTAACGCGTAAAGGGACTTACGAAGTGACTCCGGCACGTAAATAATTTATTTGTAGTCACCGAAGTAACTTCCGCAAGTGGCGAGCAATTATATCTAGCCGCACGGACGGAACAAGGCGGAGTCATAATCCAACTTTATGTGGCAAAGTAGAAAGAACCGACCACACATACACGAGTCTGACCTCCAAACTGTTTAATCCTTTTACGTCGGTTCTACCTCTGTAATGCCCGCAAAAGCGCGCGTCGCAGCATTCAACCGCCAAATTGCCGCGATAATACGGCAATACAATGTTATGGCAAAACGTGGAGAAACGTCGAATTACAAAACTCCCTGAGAATTACCTGCCTGACACAACCTGCCACTTACTCGCTCATCCGGACGATCGTAAAACGATCGTTTGAATTTTCTGTGCGGGGGTATCGCCGATCTGCATAATCGCGGTGGAAAAACCGGGGCGAGAGTACCTTTTAAACGTTTCGCGTTGAACGCCGTGTTGTTTTCGCGATACGAAATAAACGATCGCGCGCATTTGCCAAGCATTCATACGTCAATATTTAGAACGAATTGTCGTCCATACGATTTATCGATGTTTGTACGCTATATTTATACGCGCTATTTATTATTTATACAATGGAAATTTGCGATTCATGACGCTAATTGTCGCTGTTGCAACATTCAAACACAAACATTCGCCTACCAAGTCAACCGCTAATCGTTTGTACATCTTGCACGGGATTAATTTATATCTTAATGTTAGTAAAAGGAAAATTCTCTCTTCATATTCGCGTGAAAGTTCGGTGTAAGGAAAAACGATTTAAAATATTCTAAAAATTTATCATTGTGCTTTACACTTTGCGTGCAAGTTGTAAATTAATTATAAAATAACATTAATTTTAATTAATACTGGGGAATTGTTATTTTATGGAAATGACAATAATTGAATCGGTTGTTTGAAAAATTATAATAAATAAAAATTTCAATGCTTAAATTAAAATTTCGTGCAAGTCAGTATCAGCAAAAGCAAGTTATTCTCAGATAATAAAAATATATCTTTTAAATGTTCGGGGAAAAAATGATGATAAATTTGCTGATGATTTTAGTAATCCACGCAAAATGATACCACCGCGAATCATCGACAATGGAAACAACAATGGTTGTCATTTCTATTACAATAGATACGCTCGCTTCTGTTCTAACAATTCCATTATCTCCGCGCGAGAGCGCTGCCGAGGGGCGAGGCTTTATTATGCCTATCAGAAAATTTAGATCGTTTATTTAATGGGATATAAATAGTCGAGCGCGGCCTATTAACAAAATACGGAGTATTTCGCGCGGAACAATAGCTTTGCGAAGTCATTTGGCCGTTCATGCGACGACTGCAATTATACGTTTCGTTATAATAATGGCCGCAAGTAAGCAATTTAATGCTTAACATTATGCAATTAAAATTAAAAATGGATTACGTAAAATATCAGGGACGTCAATTTCGTTAAAAATTTTAAAAGCCATCCGCATGTATGTGCTTCGATGATATACGTGTAACATACTCGACTGTAATAATAATTTCTTTTTTTTTCATAGTTATAAAATTATTATACGCGAAAGACGTAAAAAATATAAAGAAAATCTCTGTAAAATATGATAACTTATGAGTTATTTGATGTAAAGATTTAATTTTTTTCTTCGGAAATTTTAAATCAATACGACAGAATTAATTCAAAAATTAGTGCTCCGTTATCTGAAGTAATGAGATTCATGTTCATTATGTTTGCAATTGCGATACCCCATTATGATCTTACAATTAATTTATATAGTTAAATAATTTTGTATAAACAAAACACACATAGCAGGAATAATGTAGACGCTAGATAAAAATTGCAAATGTATAAACTGGAAGCCATTCATAACCACAAGGCATTAATTAAAAAATAAATAAAAAAATAATAAACAATAAAAATTAAAAATAATATAATTTGATAATTTTATTTATATTCATTGTTCCTCTTTCAGGGAAATGTTTGCATCTGAGTGGTCTCACGCCCGAACCATTGACAGCGGACGACGATTACAAGCTTTTGCGCCTCGGAATCGGTTTTACAAATATGGTAGCACGTGCGACGAAAGGCAGTGCAGATCTCACAAGAAAGGAAATTAAAGAAGGTCAGTATGCCGATTGCATTTAGTTCGTCCAAATAAACGGCGAGATAATTACGAATGATTGAAAATAATTATTGCATAAGCCGATATCGCTCCGACGTAATTCGCGAGAAAATTAATCTAAATTTCGTATTATATTCACGTTATATATTTTTCATAGCGCGATTTATATTTTATCGCGTGCAAAAGAAAATAGTTATTTTTATAATTATTTTTATTAATAAAATTTTATTTATTACTCTATATACTTTGATTCCTTAATTTTTTCGATATAATTATATATTGGAAAGATTTAATTGAAAATTAAAATCTACGAAATTACTTTGTAATTTGAGATTAATTTATCAAGATGTATATACAAAAATATTTTTGTATTACTTATAGAAATTTGAATTTTCAATAGGCATTTTATCGTACGTTTACTAACACGTGCTTAACCAGGAATAAGATTTTGTCCAACAAGAACACGTAGTAAGTCTCAAGATTTACATGAGAAAATGTAAGCGATAGAAATTCGAGAAGCAAGCGAATCGACCAATCGATTTTACGTTTTCGGACGTTCTCGTCTATGACTGGTTGATTCTACTTACTCAAGTTCTTGCTTATATTTTTTGTAGGTCCTATGGATCCTACAACAACGACTAGGTCGCGCCACCAGATAGCACAGTAGTATACCTAGATTTTATATATTCTTTGGTTTTCCACCTTTGTCTAAGCTATTTTCTTCACACGTTTTTCCCAATAATTCTTCAGATAAGAAATTGTGCATATATAATATTGCTCGAGATAAAAGTGATTAAAAGTTTTCGCGATGTTTGTGAAAGTTGTTTTAAATATAAAAATAAATAAATAACACATTTAAAAATATATTTTACAAAATGGCAAAAATAGTTCGGATAAAGATCATTAACCTTGTGCCTATGTGCTGATTCGATCAAAAATATCAACAAGAAACGCCAGCAAGAATTAATCAGACGTTAAACATAAAGAGAAATAATAGATTACGCAATATTAAAAAAAAATGATAAAGAAAAAGTTATATTTCGGACTATAACTCGCGAGATAAAAATAATTAATCATCACGTAGTTCAGGTGTGATATGTATGTTGTGTGAGATTTAATGGAAATAACGATAATAATTGGGCCAAGAAACGGACGAGTGGATATAATAAAAGCTAAATAAAAAAAAACAATAATAATAATATAAAATTCTCAGATGTCATGCGGGATGAGAGAGAGAGAAAGAGAGGGAATTGGTTATTTCTCGTCGCGTTCAACTTACACGTGTCGCATTTGCATGTCGTGAACATCTATAGTCGCGCGTTATCTCTTTCTCGTCGCTGACTGAGTGACTACTCTCTTGTGGTAACGCGACATGCATGTGTGTTAGTAAAGGGAATTATGTCTGCCGACTAGACGAAAGAAGACATCCAGCAACCAACACGGATCATTCTGTTCCTGTATTTGTGAATATGCTGTTTTACAAATATACATAAGTGTATGTATCTGTGTGTGTGTGTGTGTGTGTGTGTGTGTGTGTGTGTGTGTGTGTGTGTGTGTGCGCGCGTGTGTGTGTATGTATGTATGTGTAGTGACCCAAAAGGAGGTCATGTTTTAAGAACAAATTTGTTAAGAGAAACTGGTCCTTTTAATTTTTAACGCAAATATATTAAAAAACGTACGATTGTTAATACTGATCGACATTATAAATTTATGACATGTTTTAAAAATATATTTTTTCTCGAAATTTGTAAAATAAATATGTGTGCTCTTTACTACAAGTTACGTATTATGCATGTACTGAATTAAATAAATATATATATATGCCGAAAGAAGATGCAATTAAAAATAAACAATGCTCGTAAAATATAAATCGATGAACTAAACGAGTTAGATTTTATAATATATAATGTACTAATCAACTTCGCTTATTTTCGAGTGCATCTTTAATTATGTCACAAAGATAGAAAGTTTATTTAATAATCTACCTTCGATAAATTTCGTACTAAACGACATTATTCGTCCAATGAGAGAGATATCTCGTCAAAATATTATATCTCAATATCTTGAAAGACGAAAGAACGCTCGAGCTTGTAATCGTAAGTGAGAAAATTATCGGTAACACATCTTGGAAGAAAAATTCTATCGCGCGTCGCCATTAGATACAATTCCGGTCTCTGTTACACGCATCACCGAAAACGAGTGAGAAAGACGATAAGCTGGATCGTGATCGAAGGGTGCTCACCGTTTCGGTAATCATCGATATTTTGGAGTAAGAGATTATTTTCCTCCGTCGAGGCAGAAGTCCACATCATCCTCTCCGAATGTTCACACTCGGGTGAACTGTCGATCACACCTTCTTCCATTCCGTTGCTGAAAACCGTAACCGTTTTTAACCACTCCGAACTCCGAGAATATCACTCGCGGCCATGCGTGTGTCACGACGCGGGAAACGACAGTACTACCAACTTTTAGTCATCTATCCCTAAGGCATATCGCAACATGCACCGTTCTGCTGAAAGCTATGTGAACCCCATTACTCAAAAATGCCGCTCTAACTTTAATTTAATTTGTTTAGCATTAGAAAATGTAGCGAGTTTATTTAATTATTTATATTGTATATTAATATATTATTAATATAAATATTACACGATATATTATACATAGTATATATTATATAATTATGTAATATATGATATATAATGTGTTATTAATATTATAAATAATATTTTTATATTAGGTAGAGAAATGTCATATTTAAATTAATAACGATTATGTTAGAGAGAAAGAAAAGAGAGAAAGAGTAGCAATTGTTTCAAAATATCTTACAAGATAGAACAGAAAAGTGTTAAATATATATATATATATGTTATTATTATTATTAATATTATATATAACATTTCTATTAGATATTATTTACATTTGTATTTGTACAAATCGAAAAATCTGATATTTCTGAAGAAATCACACTTAAATTAATAATTATTAAATTAGAGAGGAGTAATTTATTCCAAATAGCTTACAAGATAAAATAGAAGCGTTAAATGCGTTCTCATTATTATTCAATCACCATTAAATATATTATTTTTAATGTTCTTATTTATTATCACAATTTACTCCGAAATAATAATTTCTAATATATAAATTTAAGTATAAATCTAATCTATGTATACATTAGAAATAGTAATTTCTAATATATAATTCTATGTATAAATCTAATCTAACTATAAATTTTATTCCGGATTATTTATTACGAAGAATATTTAACAATCATTAAATTATTCACTCGCGCGTCAATTTCTCGATATCTTTATATATTAAAATTGCGATTTGCCTGTCGTACCGGAAATTCATCGATGACATTAATGCGATATCCGGAGCATCGTAGAGCCAATATCTCCTCTCTCCAAAATAAAATATTCGATAAATTAATATAAAGCCAAAAGCATAAAAATGAACGGAATAACGGTGTTGGACACTTTACTCGCCGCTTGAAATGAAATTAGCGTACCGGTTACGGTAACATTTAAGGTTTCACCGACACGCTTATTGCGTTAACTGACATGCATTAAGTTTCGAAAATATGAGACACGAGAGTCATTATACGATACACGATTGTATAATTGAAATGCCGAGAACGACAGAATAAAATTTAAATATGTGGCAAAAATGTTTGAAAGCAAAACATAATATTTTTTTATAATTCTTAATTGTATAATTTCTCTATAATTTTGTTATAATTTTTAAATTCTTTTTAACTTCTCTATTATATACACAATAATTACAATCGCATCTGATCTTATTGATGTGATTTATACTGTGCAAAATATTTTGTTTCACTCTTTTTGTTATTCGTAATTATCACGTTTTCTTCATAATATAAAGTTTTAAATTATTAATATTAATGACAATAAATCATTAATTTTAATATTAATATTGAAAAGGATAGAATTACTTTTAATATTAACTTAATAATAATTTAATTTTAATATTAATTTAATATTAATTTTCAGCTTTTAATATTATGAATGAAGGAGAATTAAACCGATATAATAATTATATAATAATTGCAATATAATAATTGTTTCATTTACAGGTAGTCACATTCTGCTCGAGAAATTACGAAAGTATAAGCCAAAAATTGCCGTGTTCAACGGCAAACTCATATACGAGGTGTTTTCGGGAAAGAAGGAGTTTGGATTCGGAAGACAGCCTAATCTCGTCGACGGCACAAACACGGTAAAACAATCGCTTATTATTATTTTTAATTACCTATCTATTATTTTAATTCAAAAGACGTTTGAAGAAACTCCAAAAGGCTATATAGAATATCTTTCACGCATCGTATTGTTTACCATATACCTATATTAAAATTTAATAAAATTAATAATTTCAGTAAGAATTTAATAAGAGAATGTCGATTTAAAATTCATCGCGAGTAAACGTAGAGATTATTTTCGCATAGTTATTATACACGTCGAAGTTTCACGAAATCATATCGATGCTTATTATAATAATCAGTCTAAGGGTGAAAAAATTCTAATTGCTCGATTCACGTTTGCAGTACATGTGGGTGATGCCTTCGAGCAGTGCGAGGTGTGCCCAGTTACCACGGGCTGCCGACAAGGTGCCATATTACGCGGCCCTGAAGAAGTTCCGCGACTATTTGAACGGCACGATTCCGCATCTGGACGAGTCGGACATCGTGTTCGCCGATTCGAAACTCAAGAAGAAGGACCACGAGGCGATCGAGGACAAGAAGCCGCTGTTCGTCGACGATTTGCCGGACGGCGAGACTCGAATCACGGAAATCAACGGCGCGTTGGTGAAACAAGAGTCGGGTCTGATACCCGGCAAGAAGAAGCGCGGCAGACCGAAGAAGATCAAGAATCCGGAAGATCAGCCGCCGCCGGATCCCGAAAAGCTGGACGCGAACGGGGAGGTCATCAAGAAGCGTCGCGGACGCCCGAAGAAGATACACCAGCAGCAGAAACTGCTGGAGCGGGAAAGTCGCGAGAGGGAGCAACAACAGCATCAGCAACAGCAACATCAAGCGATGGGCCACCTGAACGACGGTTACGGGAACGCCGTGACGAATTGCTTCTCACCCCCGTTGATGTCACCCCCGAAAGCGTTTCCGCACATGGCGCCGTATCCGCAACCGCCGATGAACGACGGCTTCTACGGTCAGAGCATGAACGACAATAGTCCGTACAACATGAGCGCGAAGCAGAGCCCGGTGCACATGCATTACAGTCAGAGTCACAGTCCCAAATCCATGTCTCTGTCGTTTACGCATTCTGATCTGTCGTCGGAGATCAACACGGGGATATCGTCGGAGAACAATCTCGAGCCGTCGCCACTTACGTCGCCCAGCGTCGAACATCCGGACTTCGAGCCGCCCACAAGCATGTCGCAGCAGAACATGGGTAACGATCATCGCCAGTACAATCCGGCCGGTGGCCCCGATCCGAGCCATCATGGCAGTCCCGGCACGCCGTCTCACACCTATGCCAATTACATGAGCTATCACGAGCAGACGCCGGAGGCGCACAACCCGCATCCGCATCAGACGACGCCGACGCCCCTCAGCCAGACCGCCGAGGATCACTCTCATCATTCGCATCCGACGCCGCCGCATCCGCACACTCCCACTCATACGTCCATGTCGCCGCACCATCCGCACGAGCAGTACGGCATCAAGAGGAACTCCGGCCAGGACGTGGCGTCCAAGAGTTTGAGCGATCTGGAATCCCTGGTCGATCAGATCCCGAGCATAGCCGACGGCGGTAGCCAGCGCCTTCAGCACTCGCATCCGGGAATACCGGGCGACGACGCTCTGGCGGAGAAGATGGACGCCCACCATCAGTCCTACATGTCCGGTTTCGGCGGCATGCCGACCGGACCGAGCGGGATGACCAATTACAGCCCGCCTCTGCCACCGGGTGGCGGAATCTATCCAAGCTCGCTGCATCACTCGCCCAACGACGGCGGTTACGGGAGTCTGTACGGCATGAACGGTCGTCATCATCAGGAATCTCAACAACAACAGCAGCAACAACAGCAGCAGCAGCAACAACATCAACAGCAACAACAACAGCACAGCAAATCTTACACGGTGGAGAATCTGGCGTCCAGCAATTACACCCCCAGCATGAACCATCCCGGTAACTCGTATCCGAACATCATCCCCGGACCGCACTACCCGGTACCGATGGGCTCGACCAACGGCTACCTGTTCGGTGGTCTAGAGCCCAGCCTGATGCAACGTACCTACGGAATCGGCGGAATGAGCGGGATGGGAAGCATGCACCCGTCCGCCGCTCTCGGCCACCCTATGGCGGCGAATCCGTACCCGTACAACGGCTCGTACTCGAGTTCCTTCGACGCTTACCCGGCACCATCGGCGACGATACACGCGCCCAGCGCCAATTATCCCGGCTACGTAAGCGCGGCTGGAGCGGCGCCCACCACCACCACGCCGCCGTCCTACCTCGCACCGTCGCATCACAGACCGCCGGTCGACCTCTCCTACGACGGTGTATGATAATCGATGTGAAGTACCATCTCGTTCACCATCCACCGACCATCATCAACCTTCAACGGCCCCCCGCTCGGTCCCCGCCCCGCCTGCCGATCGCCTCCTGTTGCGATACCGCGCCGCGTTTATCTTTTCTACGTATTTTTACACGTGTCTCTTAAGGCTCTTAACGTCGGGGGCTCTTCGCGTCGCCGCGCGCGTCGTCACCCCGAACACGTCGTCTACTACCCCATCCTCGAATCGCAAACTCTCTCCTATGCGACCATCCGCTACTCGCTATCAATTTGCGCGTGTACTCCCCGTTTATCGATCTGGTCTATCTATCTTGCGATTTTCTCTTTCTCTCTCTCTCTCTCTCTCTGTCTGTCTCTCTTTTGCTCTCTATCCGGCTCTACATACAAGATAATCCTATAATGGGCGCAAATGAGAGAACACATATAGACATTAACAATATTTGAAAGATCTTTCTTCATCTGAAACATCGAGATTCTAATGTCAATGATGAAATTTTCATTAATATACATTAGAGTAGAGATAAAGTTTATTTTGTTATTGAAATTTAGTTCCTAAAAATGACGAAGATATGTTTAAAATTTAAAAAAAAAAAAAATGTGACGATCTCCTCCGACGAGAAAAATAATGCTATATATAATATATTCATCTTGCGTCAAAAATCTTTCAAGAAATCCAGTGTAGTTATTATAGTATAGCTACATACATATACATATGTGTATCGGTTTTCCGTTTTCTCCATATCTCTTTCATTCCTTCTCTACCTCTTTGCTTTTACTTTCGTCTCTCTCACTTCTCTGTTTTTTTTTTTTTTTTATCTCGCTTTCGATATGCGATTACGCTGTGAGTAATTACGGGCGCGCGGCTCGGGAATGGGAAATTGCTCGTGAAACGCGACTATGGCGCACGCAACGAACATAAGCCTCTGCTAGATTAGGTTCGCTGATCGCGTTTTATATACCGATCCGACCGTTAAAACACATACACGCGGACACGCACATCGATAACCGTGACGATAAATGGCGACCTTATTAACGCTGAGCAAATCGCTATTACAAATTCGGTCGACGTAGCCGAGGTCAGCCGGACGTGTAATTGCGCTTTTCCCGCCCCAACGATATCAATTGATCGTCAGCTGATCGTCGTCGATCGTAAGAAAAAAAACCTTATCATTGAAATCGTATTTCCGCATTTTCATATTTTGTGACATGAATAATCCCCGATTGTAAACGACATCGAGAGCTGCAAACAATCGCACGGATATATATCGTGCATTCTGAATCAATTCTGTAATCAATCGCATCTGTAATCAATTTACCGTCTTCGAAAGTCGATAGGATACAGCGAATTAGTTTTACGCATCGCGGTGCGAATAGAATAAAGCGCAAATTTATCCGAAAATTTATCAGGTATTGAAACGGATGTAATTTTGATGGATTTAGAGTTCGATGCCACAGATTGTTTGTGCAAAATAATTTATATATTGTTTATTCATTAATCGATGATAAATTTGTTTGTAATTTTTTTTATGTAACGTTATTGTGATAATGAACTTGCGATTTATATCATTATCAAGACACATTGTTCCGCATTTGTCGCATCGAGAGACCCATCGAAATTATATCAGTTTTATTATAGGAAGAATCACGCTGTAATTATACAGTGGAAATGACCGGCACCGTTTACTTACATATGTATTTGTGTACCGCACCGCGATTTATATTACTGTTGGCTTGTTATATTGTTACTATATTACGTGTTTCATTAATTGATTAACGCGCGTCTAGCGATTTAGATTGTGACGCGTTTCCATGTCGTCGAAATAGCTGTCTTGATGTTCTTGTCGAGAAATTTACTCTATTTTACATGACGACGTATAATATTATTTCTTAGAAGCAATATTCGTACGACTTTTCAGCTACTCTCAACGCTCGGAAGATTTTTTATGAGAAAATTAAAACAAAATTTATCGATATCAGTTTTATTATGACACAACCGAACAAATTCTTCGTAAATTTGAAAACTTTTAGCTTCATTAGCAGTCTGATTCACATAATTAGGTACTACACCGCATATAATATCGATGGATCTATTCTATCCGATATGATTCAGTTTGTTTATATTTCATATAAAATGAAATAAAAGAATAAAAAAGTAAATATATATTTTTAAAACATATATATGTATTATAATACAATTATAAAAAATATATATTATAATAATATATTATATGCATTAAATAATATATACATTATATATATATTATACAGGTATATATTATATATTATATTAATATATATTTTTAAAAATTTAATCGACAGAGTCGACAAAATCTTAAAGAATTACGATTAATAAAAATGACTTTTAGGACAATAATCTGTAAACCAAAAAAAAAAAGGAGAAAGATAAGAAATTGTAGGCCCTTTTCCATAATTTTCTTATCTCATTTATAAATTCGTAAAAAATAGTTTTTTAAATTTTCTCAAAATGCAAAATCTTCCGAGCAAAATTAATCTACGTGTAAAAACCGATAAGAGAATTACATGAGAAAGCTCATGTACGATTGGAATTAAGAAATCTGGTTGTGAAATAATACTTTTAGGACAATCTGCAAACCAAAAAAAAGAGAAAAATAAAAAAATGCAGGTCCTTTTCCATAATTTTCTTATCTCTAATATTATTTATAAATTCGTAAAAATTTTTTTAAAATTTTCTCAAAATGCAAAATCTTCCGAGCAAAATGAATCCACGTGTAAAAACCGATAAGACAACTACATGAGAAGGCTCATCATGTACGATTGGAATTACGAAATCCGGTTGTGAAGTGACACGTTTTTAAGTATATACATATATATTCTTTCACGTTTCTACGGATTCGTCATTGTACTAATAAACAAATCGAGAACGCACGATCACCGATTAATTGCTTCTGTATTTTCGTGCTCAAAAATCATCATCGATTTTAATTGTCGCGTACCTGCATTTATTCGGTCGGGCGTTTTTATTTTTCCGAATAAAAGATACGCGTCATTGTTCTCGTTATTTCTTGCCACTCACCGGAGTGTTCTAATTTAAGTATTATATATTTTCATTTTCTCATCAAGGACCTTTCTCGAATTATTCCAGCGAATATCGCATTTTCTCGTCGCTAGCAAAAGACGATGATTATACCGAACTACGAGCCGCGCGTTGTCATTACGTTCGCCGCTCCTATAAGTTCTTTGTCAGCATTTTTAACAGAGTAAAATATTAATCGTTATCGTCATTGTATCGTTAAGGTTACTGCACATAGTAGGAAGAAGCTTAAGCCCGATTGCGCCGGTGTTTCTTTAATCGCGGCACGGTCATGCTTTCATCAACGTTGGTCATATTTAACCGTAGTTTAATCCTAATCCGGGCAAATTATTTTTCCAAACTAATATACATATATATATATATTTATAGAAGAAATAATCATATTATAATATGTAAAAAAAATATGCTATTGAAAATTTTTGTATTTATTCTTAAAATCGCGGTATAGACAGTTTTGCATGAAGAAGTCGTTGATTTGTATAGATATAACTTGATGAATATGCTAATTCGAACAATGTTCACTATTTCTCATTAATATTTCGAGACTATTCGCGAATGTGTATTTGTACATTAAAAATTTCCATATACTTATATTTGTTCGCGACGACTGACTCGCGTCAGCTGGAGATGAGGAATAACTTATTCATCTCTTGTGAGAACTATATAGGACTAGATGGAGACAGCAAATCGATTAAACTAAGGTTGATATTAATCGATGTTAATATAGCTTAACCGGCCTTGTAAATGCGCGCGGGATAGAATCCGCCGATCGACCGAATTATTATAAGCCGAGAACCTAAAGTAAGATCGCCCGCGCAACCGGATGCCGAGCTTACTTAAATATAAGATACGAGCCCTAACGAGAGGCAAAGAAAAAATGAAAGAGACCACTTCGTGTGTACTTTGTTTAATCACACCGCCAACCACTTTCGTACCTCGCGCCCGCAATACCAGCCATCACACCGTTTCTCGTTGCAACTCTGATTATTATTTATCGTTAGAACTCGATATCGCTGTGGAGTTACATACGTTACTTGTCGTTATTAACATACTCGCGTTACGTTGTCTCGTTAATTATATTCTGTTATGCGTTTCGCATTGCCGAAAGTCACTATATATATTAATAACACACGATTATGAAGACAAACACACGTACGTATACATGCATAGATTTACATACAATTTACACACAGACACGTACATGCAGTCGTAATAAATATATTATAGCTGGCATTAATCGACATCCTCTTTTGTCGCTGACCGACGCTGTAAAGTGACGCATCTGGCATGATTATAAATATATATACAGATATAAATATATAAATATATAAATATATATAGATATTATAAATAAACTATAAATATTATATATTGATTATATGTAAGGATAAGAAAGCGAGCAACACACATTTATCTCGGGTAAAACCACCTAAGATGTGTCGAGACATTTAAGATGATGCACAGGGTATAGATGAGAGAATCGTTGATATAATAACTGATGTCTATATTATTATAGATGTTTCTTTCGTTCCGTCATCGGCCTCAAAACACGCATACGATCGCGCGCGAAATCACGTACGATCGAAATTTATTGTAGTAGATGTTTTTCAGAAGTCCAAAAAAGCCCTCTCCTCCCTCTCCCGCTCCCTCTCACCCCCGATTCCGAGCGGCGGCTAAGAAATAATAGGTGTCATCGGTGTGTTAATCGCGCAACAACGTTCATCACCAATCGCAATGAGAAGAAGGATGAGGATTATATAAATACATATATATATATATATATATATATATATATATATATATATACATACATATATATATATATATATATATATATATATATATATATTCTCACCTATCTCTCGCTGCGACCGGCGGATCCGCCGTTACACTATTAATTAATTGACTCTTCGATTAATCAAATTAACTAACTGATTGTAAATTGATCGCTATATTAAGGACTTTACTATTAAGTATAAATATATATTATACAGATATAAAAGTGGATTCGCTGTTGAACGTGTCGAATAAACAAAGCAAAAAGAAAAAAAAGAACACAAAATCCAGGAGTAAGAGCGAGTAAGAGAGCTTGGGCCGGATCGCCGGCCTCCGACATATTTTTTAATCGCTTCGAACCTCTATTATTCTACCTAACTAATTAAACGTAAACGGTGTATCTACGTGTGCGTCCGAACGATCAATGCCGATCCGCGTCGTCCTCGTCGACGGTTAGTCATTTCCCGGTCGACGTCGTCGATCGGGTCGCGTTCGCTCGGGCTATCGAGATGTGTTCTGTATCGAATTAACGAATGTACTTCTCGAATATTCATCGCTATCCTACGAATAATCGCGGGATAAGGAAGGGTGACGGATACTTTGCAAAAAAAATATTTAAAACAATTTTCTGCTCCTTGCCGCCCGAACCTTAACGAAGCCCACGCAGATCTCCAACGGACGTTATTATATATATTGGGTGCTCACAGTGGATACCCGAGTATCCCGCAATATGTAAATCTGTATGTCTCTGCCCGTACTACGATATTTTATGTGAAAAATGAATTGTTACAAATACATTACTGATATAACACCGAACTAATCATATTCTTTACCTGAAGACTTTTCTGATAAACAATAAGTATATTATACTCGCTCGACGCGATCATTGAAAAACTGTGTCTGTCTATCCCTTAATACGATAACATGTGTGATCCTTTTATAATATTTAGTGTGCAGATGAACGTTCGTGCGTGTAATAGCGATTTATTAACGATGTTAACGCTGCGGGATATTCGGAGGTCTGATAAACACTTAATGAATACTCGATGAAAGTCTGCGTGCAAACCGATTTTTTGAAAAAAAAGAAAAGAAAAGAAAGATCTCCGTGTACGATTGACCGAAAAATAAACAAATTATTTGAACGAATAGCGAGAAAGCATCTCGAAAGCATATATGCTCCAAAAAATCTCTTATTTGAAGCACACAATTGCGCGAAAAAAATCCGACATCCTCGCCCGTTATTTTCCGAGGCTAACGTTTTAATTCTCTAGACCTACTATCGAGTCGATTAAGTAAATAAGTAAGAGGACAAAATCGCGCCATGCGTTTAACCAATTATTAAAGGATCACTAAGTGTAGCTGGACTAAAAGCTGTTGGACGTGTATTGTATTGTGTTTTAAAGAAAAATATATGATAATATATATATATATATATATATATATATATATAACATTCTTGCAAAGAATGCAAAACTTTTAATTAAAATTATTTAATTCTTACTTGAGCGAGCACGAGTGTTAAAGAGTTGAAGATGTTTCTCTTATATTTATAATACAAAATATATCTTGTTCTTATAATTCATAATCTTGCACTTATAAACTAACTTTGCGATTTACCGCGAGTGGACAAATAATTGGCAGAAATTGGCGCAAAATTTGGGACAACTTGCGCCATCTTTCGACGTCATTCCGAATTGAAAAACATGGCCTCCAAGCGAACAAAAAATGCGACGTGTCGCATCAAGACATTTCTTATCTATGTTTAAGCGCCACTAGGAAAAGTGTCAGCTCATTACAGATTTTGGGAGCGTGTATTATTATTAAAAGTTCGCAATGCCATTAGAGAATTTGGAAGAGGAAGGTTTGGAGAAGAACCCGAACCTGGAATTGGCACAAACTAAATTTCTGCTAAGTCTTCCTGAACACAAGGATGATCCTAATTTCAAGACAAAGCTCTTGGATGCTATCAAAAACGAAAGTGAGATTGCATATTTTTTGAGATTATCTTTATTATATTATTCCTTTAAAGATTTAATCCAATTAGAAATATGATTAATATTATTTAATACAAATCCTTTCTTTTTATTTTGAGTATTTAATATATTATCTGTCATTGTTACAAACATAACCTTCATGTCATCAGCTACTATTAATTAATTAGTAATATGATTGTAAAAATTAATATAACAATAATATTTTCAATAGATATGGCTCCATTTTATGAAGAAGTATGTAAAGATCTGGATTGGCCAGTAGATGAAACACTTCTTTCAACAATGAAGGCACATAATGCGGAACAATTAAAGAAACTTGATGACGCTATCGAAGATGCTGAGAAAAACTTAAGCGAGATGGAAGTTCGGGAAGCTAATTTAAAGAAATCTGAATATCTGTGTCGAATAGGTGATAAGGAAGGTGCAATTTCGGCGTTTAGGAAAACTTACGACAAAACAGTATCATTAGGACATAGACTAGATATTGTATTTCACAATATTAGAATTGGCTTGTTCTATCTGGATCATGATCATATTACGAGAAATATCGAAAAAGCTAAAAGGTAAAGATAAAAAAAGATTGTAAATATCAAATATTTTAACTTTATAATAATGTGTATTATTTTCGTTTTAGTTTGATAGAAGAAGGTGGTGATTGGGACAGAAGAAACCGTTTGAAAGTCTATCAAGGAACATATTGCATAGCTGTTCGCAACTTCAAAGAAGCTGCAAACTTCTTTTTGGATACAATTAGCACTTTCACAAGTTATGAACTTATGGATTATAATACATTTGTGAGATACACAGTATACTTGAGCATGATAAGCCTTCCGCGCAATGAACTGAGAGACAAAATTATTAAAGGATCTGAAATATTGGAAGTTCTCCATAGTAATCAGGATGTCAAGGATTATTTATTCTCATTGTATAATTGTCATTATGCAGACTTCTTTAAGAATCTTGGTAAATTGATAAAGTTTAAATTTCCTTTCATATTTGAAGAACTTGTATCTTATATTCTTAAAATACTGTTTCAGCACATGTTGAAGGATTGCTACGTCGAGATTATTTAGTATTTCCGCACTATCGATATTACGTTCGAGAAATGCGAATTCTCGCATATACACAACTATTGGAATCTTATCGATCTTTAACTCTCCAGTATATGGCTGAAGCATTTGGTGTTACAGTGGAATATATTGATCAGTAAGTGTATAATCTACTATTACTTAATTTTGTTACCATTATTAATCTGTAATGTTGATATTTAATTGGCAGCCACGAAAAATTATTTATTTAATTTTTTACATCAGAATTACATCTCTCAAATGTTATATTTTTTTGCAATCAGTCATGACTAACCATGCTCATGAAATACTTTTGATATCTTTTATTTGCAAAAAGTGCAATATTTGAAAGATAGACTTTAGAGTTACATGTAGCATGTATACTATATATATATATAATTCTTACACTATTTATTATTTTTGCAGAGAATTATCGCGCTTTATAGCAGCTGGACGACTACACTGCAAAGTCGATCGCGTCGGAGGTGTAGTGGAAACGAATCGACCAGACAGTAAGAACTGGCAATATCAGGCAATGGTAAAGCAAGGGATCTTTTGCTCAATAGGGTGCAAAAATTATCGCGCGTTATTAATATTTAATGTCATATTAATGTCAACATAGTATATACGCTATCAAATTAATATTAAAACAATTAAGATCAATTATTTGAATCTTCATTGTATATCTATTTTAAAGAGCCTGTTCAGTGTGTTCAGTTATAGCATAAATTTTGTAACAAAGAAAGCTTAACACTTGTATTGGATTTTGTAAACAAGATATACATACACAATATCTCTCAAATATATAATATTATTTTTATTTATCCTTTTCATCACCAATTAAAGCTGATGCATATCTTATCGATCCATGAAATCTTTTGAGAAATTTAAAAGATGTTGGAGATACTTTTGTACAAGGTCCAAACAAATTTTAAATATTATATATAAGTAATAGATATTACAAGTCCCTAGTAAAATAGAATAAAAGTAAAAGTAGTTTAATATTTCAATTTCATTTTAGTATATTTTTTTTAATTCTAATTGTAAGTAAAAAAAGTTTAATAATCAGTTTTTTAATTAATAATTCATAAAATGCATAATGTATAATTAACATTCACATTAAAAATACTATAATAGTACACTGTTACAATAGCATACTATATTTATTTGCGCTTTGAAGGAAAGAAAATTTATAACAGTTGAATAAGTACTTATTGAAGTAACAAGATTGCGATGTTTATTGTTTAGAAAGAAATTTAATGATTTTAATAAAAGTAAATTTTATCGCTATATCATTATTTTGTCTATTTTTGTAATTTATCAATCAAATGTGTTTTCCTACTTTATTAAATTATTGTAACAGAGTAACATGATTATTAAACGCTTAAAAATACAACAGCCAAAATTGGGATTGGGTCTGAAGATATGTGAAGATGTGTGTATATATATTATTAAAAATGATCTTACCTTACTGTATTATAAGAGAATTATTTATTATTTCTTAAATTGCAATGAAAAGTAACGGTTGCTATTTGATCTTAATTCATATTTTGCGTAATTAACAATTACAAGTGAAAAATCAGATGATAATGCGTTTTAGATAATTGGAGCAGAATAAATCAACAAATAAAAATTACTTGCAATATTTCATACATGCAATTAGCATGCATCATGAAAGTGTAAACTGTTTATATGATTGTTGAAGAATCATAGAATCTTTAATTGACTTCTATTGAGAAAAAATTACTTTATAATTGACGATTCTTGCATTATTTGTACACATTTTGTGTATTATAAAAGTATCAAATGCATATTATATATATCAAATGCAACAAAATTGGAAAGAAGTTTCACAAAATTACCTGAAATTTAAGTAAAAATTGACTCACCAAGTCGATGCACAGTAGTAGCCTGTAAAATATAAATGGAAATTAGTGAAATTTAAAATAAAAAAAATTTTATTAATTTTTTTATTTAGATATTTTTGAAAAATAACATTATTACAATGAGAAAATTTAATTAATAATAAAATAAATAATAAAATTAATAAAATAATTTACCATATAGTTGCTCCGCCATTGCCCGATGCCCCTCCCCGGGCCTCCTTCCGACTCCTAATCCCATTTCTTAAAAGTTTCGAAACACTTCCACTCGCGTTACTTTTTTTTCGACGCCCGGATTTTAATAAACTATCACATTTTCGACGTTTTTCGGCAAAAGGCGAGAATCGCGAGAGCTTCTTCGCGCGCGACCGATGCTCCATTTTCGCGTCGCCACTTTTCTCAAGGCCCACTCAGGAGTCGCCGATTTCCGAGAATCCGGCACTTTACTATATATATATATATATACTCGCGATGTCGCGAAACGATGTCTTCGACACGATAAGGCGGAAGTGCGACCGGAAACGCGCGATCGCGCACTCAAAATACTACCGACACCGTCAAAAAACTTGCAAAATATTCGCGTCGAAGGTGCTCGGTGATTCTCGACGATCCATTCTCAGTAACTCAAGCGCGCGAACTTCGGTAGTTCGAGAAGAAGCCGTGACGTCACGCTTTCTTGCCAACTTTCTCAAATTGAAGCTAATTTCACACGTTTTCGGGAGATGAATGTTTAGTGAGATTCGCGGCCGACGAGGTCAATTTCGGGCGAATGATCATGATTACGATGTCGGGACACGCGACGCGATCGGATTTGTACCGTAATTAACGACGTGAAGATGCTAATTATTATTCACACTCCGTAATTACGCAGACCGGCGACGAGCGCGAAACGTTGATTCCGAACGATGCGAAGAAGAAGAAAGAGGGCACCAACATTCGAGATTGTGTTCAGAAATCCGCCCGTCAAGTGCAGAATTGGCCGGCCAATCAGAGACCGAGGATCTCTGTCCTGGTTGGTCGATCGGACGTTTCACTATAAACTGATCAATATAGACTTAGCTTTAGATGAATATATTTTCGAACACAGTCTAGAATGTCTCTATCATATATTTTTTAGGCGGGAGAGCATTTTTTTACAGCATTAAAATTTTAATACAGGCAAATCAAACAGAAACTCGCGGAAAGAGATAATGTACGTGTAAAATTGTGACATCAATATTGATCATTTATTTCACGAAGATACATTAATTAAGGTACCATTTCATATGCAGCATGCTGCCGCAACAATTTGTTGCTATTGAAGTTCAATTAAACGATGCGAACAGCAAATAAGACAGCAAAGTAAAAGAACACACTAACTGATTGATTCTAATTATTATTATTTAGTTAAATAATTGATTTTAAGAATAAAACAGATATTATGAGAATATAAAAGCCAAAATCGTAATTTAAACCTTGAGATAATAAGAGAACAAAAGAAATATGCTTTAATAAATTTTAATCACATGACTGCATGATTTGCTGCTGCAGTATGCTTTGCGTATGAAAAGGCACCTTTATACGTACATATATATATATATATATATACGTATATAAAACAGATGATGTGTATTCTTCGGAAAGAAATGTAATATAACAAAATAGGATTGTCATACACATACAGTTAAAATATAATTAAAGTATATTTAACACGGAATATCTCGTTATTGTCGTTGCACGCGAAACACTATATACCGTCTCTCGCTTTACGAGTCATAATATTGCTTTGACAAAGTATTCCTCAATGCGTTTAATGTTATCGTACATTATGCTTTAATTGAAGAATTTTTCGTACAGTACTTAAGGCCCTGCACACAATAGGAAAAATATTAAGGCGCACAACAGGAAAAGATTAAATATTAAATATTAAACGCAAAAGAAACACACATAAGAAGGCCAGAAAACGAGCATTAAATTAATTATAAATATATAAAATCTATACAATTTAATATACAAATAGAATAGAATAAAATAAATAGAATCGCAATTAAATATCAAACAAGAGAGAGAAAGAGAAAGAGAAGAGAGAGAGAGAGAGAGAGAGAGAAAGAGAAGAGAGAGAGAGAGAGAGAGAGAGAGAGAGAGAGAGAGGAGAGAGAGAGAGAGAGAGAGAGAGAGAGAGAGAGAGAGAGAGAGAGAGAGAGAGAGAGAGAGAGAGAGAGAGAGATCTTTTCTAATATTTTTCTATTGTGTTTTCTATTAATATTTAATATTCTTTATATTGTGCGTAGGGCTTAATATTATTATGACGAGAAGAGAGAAGAGCGCGTCTAAATGCGTATGACTTTGAACTGACTCTGACCTCTAGGCGGCGCTGGAATGCGGTGCGTCACGTATCACGTGACTACTCGCTGGAGGGGGAAGGAGGCAGCGCGCACCAGTTCCCCCTCCACTGTCCCACGCTATTCAGCACGACGAAGTGAGAGAGAAGAAAATCTCTCTCTCTCTCTCTCTCTCTCTCTCTCTCTCTCTCTGTCTTTCTCTCTTTGAAGATCTTTTCGAAAAATGATTTTCTTATCAAGAATATGTATGTCACAGTGTGTCATCTACATGTATGTGTGTGAAAATATTTTAATAATAACATATATTTATAAATTAAAAATATCTGCGCGATTAAGCTGTGATTTTATCGATAAATGCTAATAGTCCAATCTGGACAAAAATAATCTCCGTCCCGATTGGTCTATGAAATTCTTCTAGCACTTGTAGCATCAAGACTAATGTCGGCACTCGGCACAAACGTAGTCGTTGTCAATCTTGACATTTGTATCAAAGTCGTCATCATCCAAAAATACCGGTAGGACAATAATTAAGAGGAAGGCCGGCGAGACTAATTAAGAGCGAGATCGCGCGTCGTTGAAGATAAATATCTCAAATCATCTGATATCTGTCACGATGGATAAGACGAAGTTGGTCAGTAACGACCTGGAGCTACCCCCGTTGCGCAGCCTGGACGACTTCCTGCTGGAGTCCGCGCGCTTTCAATTACCAAATCTCAAGGACTTGGAGAAATGGGGCAATCGGGTGGTCAATAATCTTCTGTACTATCAAACCAATTATTTGTTTATGTCCATTATTATTTTCCTCATCGTTGGGTGAGTTATCCTTATATAAACATAATTATATAAATCATGCATAAATATCATTTATAAATCAATTTTTATAAACTACATCAGTTGCAAAAGCCATCTGTGATCTCAATACTTCTGAATTTGTTATGATCTGTTCCAGACACTTAATATTCTTGTTTTTAATAAGTTTCAAAACTGTACGCTACATTTAGTTTGAACATCATAATATTAATTAATATTTGTTTAACTCTTTGAAATTTTTAATTTCTTTGAAATAAACAGCTTGCATTTTTTTATTCTATATAAATTTATTTATGTGACATTTATTATTATATGAATTCTATATGTATAGATTGATCCATCCTGTTAAAATGCTAGTCGGTATGCTAGCAATGATGACAATTTTGGGCACATTTGCTTATGTGTCTATGGAAGGAAGTGTGATACATAATTTTAAAAGGCAATATCCAGTAGTTGGAGTATTATTTATAGTATCTGCTGGATGTTTCTTAACATATACTCTGGGATCTCTATTTGTTTTCTTGCTGGGCATTTTGTTACCTTTCTGTGGTAGGTGTGGCAATATTATATTATTATATATTATATATTAATTTTGTCACTTGTTGCTTTTATTATTTTTGTAATAATAGAACTTAAAAATTAATTCTGCTCATTGTATCAATCTTTAGTGACATTTGTGCATGCCTCACTGAGATTAAGGAATATCAAAAACAAGATTGTCAACAAAATTGAAGGCATTGGTCTTAAACGCACACCGATGGGCGTATTTCTGGGACATCTTGGTATGGAAGAAGAATTTCTTTCATAAATTTCTATAATTTATTGCTTTGTAGTTATTAAGATGAGTCAAGTGAAAATGCTTTGCAATCCTTAACTATTTTGCTCTATATTACTCACGTGATACCATATAGATTTTTCACATCGAACCTTATAAAGTTTTGACATCTATTTTTAAATATTCTTTAACTGAGATTTTGAAAAAAGAGGCATTTATCTTCATTATTATCATGCATTCTCTAATGCTCAATAGTATCAGTAAAAGAGAATTTCCGATGTTTGAATAATAATTTTAGATTAATATATTGTTAATGGTAAAACCATATTTTCTTATCTAGTCGCTAAATAATATTTAATATTTACATGTTATATTTTAAAGGCTTATATAATCTAAGTAGCATATGTTGATTTCAGAAATGTTTCTTAAATATATCTAATAAATACCATTAGATATGTTTAAAAATTATTTATAAAAGCAACATGTGCTACCTGAGTAATGTTAATATTTTTAATCAAATCTATATATTTGCTGATAGTGTGTGAATGAAAGTAATAAACTTATTATTTATTAATCATATTTAATATTTTTGGACAGCATTTTCTCTAATAATGGCTTTACTTACTATATGTATATATACACACAATATACAACATTGAATATATATAACATTGTCTTCGAATATAATATGTTTCTTATTAAAAGAACTGTACACTCTTTAAGAATGTTCTGTAGCATAGACAGTGTATTGATATTATTGTATTGATTTAATATGTGCAATTTATTTAATGAAGAGTATTATTATATAATGTATTAAAATATGTATATGGAATAAAAACATTTGAATTATCTTTCTTATTTTTTGAAAGAGTTTTAGCAGGTGTTATCTCTAGAATACAACATTGTATTATCCACTAGGGAATTTTAATAATTGCATTTACTAACAATATATTTTTCTTGTATTTAATTTTTTCTTTATTTTATTTGTTGAATTCGTTTATTAATAATGAATTTTCAGTTAATCAATTAGCAGGCACACATTTGACATCATTAATTATTCACTGTTACATTATAATTTGTTTAGTAATGCTATTTATTTATCATTATAAGGAATTCCATTAATTATATGTATGAATTATGTTATCTAATATTCTGTTATTTTTTCTCATTCCACTATACAGAAGGTGTGACTGGTATGACCCTGCGTGCGCAGACATCACTCATGCAACCGCCTTATTAATATCCTGCTTTGTGCATCAAGTTATATATTAAATTGACAAAAATTAATATCAATAACCATTAGTATTTATCGCCGTTACTGCTCTAATTGAATCACAGTGTTTCACATTATCAATGAGATGAGTCTTGAAATATTTCAGAATATAGAGAGATTTGACAAATATTTATAACTTAAAAGCAATCTGTTATATTATTCTTAGTTTACAGCATAACTGACAAGTAACAATTATGCTACAATACTAAATATTGAATTTACAGATTTATATCAAGTGTTTATTTTTTCTTGAAATACTTAAAAGGACTGTTTTAATATGGCTATATTTATTTTTTAAATGCTATATTATATAGTTCTATATATTTGTATGTGTTACATATATATTATAAGTGATATCAAAATTTAAAGATATCACTATGACTGAATCACTATATCTATATAATGTATATAAAGTATATTTTGAATTAATTTGTATATATGTACATTTATAGATAATATATAAAATATGTAAAAAACACATGGCAAGTTGTTCTCGCAAAATTTTGTTATACTATATCATATTTATTTTAATTTGGTATTTTAATGTATGAATCCTGCACACATCTCATCCAATCCTATAGAATTAAAAATATATATATGTTGAGTATAATGAATATACATACTATACATATACATATATGCATTGGAAATTAAAATATTTTTGAATAAATCATAAAATTATGTCTGCATAGATACAAATTTTATATAATAAATATGTAAAATAATATGATTTAATTAAATGTATTATATTTGTATATATACACATGCATAGTAATTCAAGGAAATAGCTCTTTTCTACAATGTATATTACAGAATTATGATATTATACACTGAAAAATAAGTAAAAATACAGATACTTGACATATGTAAAATGTGTTTGTGTAGTCAATGTATATGTAATAATAGTATACTATGTGTAGATTAATATCTTACTTATAATTTATAATGTAAAATATTTGAATTTATATCTATCTTATAACTAATTATATCGGCAGTTTTAATTTGAACAGATTATCTGGATGAAAATCACATACATTCATATATGTGATATATTATAATAACATATAGAATAACATTGAATTGTTTTCGATTTGTAATATGAAGTTTTTTATGATTTACATCACATTGGCGAAAATTTTCTTTCATACATTATTCTTTAAGATATCTTATTTTGTAATATGTTATAATCATGTAGTATCATGTAGTAATGTCATAACAATATGTTGCATATTTTACCTTGAAATATTTTGCCAGAAATACATTTTGAGACAGCTGTACACGTTATGGACGGCACTTGCAAGATTTGCAGAAACAATAATAATAAAACGAATAAGTAGCAACGAGATAAAATAATTGGGTAATAAGTAGCTATACGATATACGTATTTAACTGATAATTTTCTCTTAAAATATATCGTGAGTACAATCAGATCTTATTCTAAAATTGAAAGATTATATAGAGAAGAGATTTAATATGAAATGAACACTGAATGGCAGTGCTTCTCTATGGTTTTATCGGTTTTATACATGTATAAATATCCTATCTCTTCAAATTATTATATAAACATAAAGGAAGATTTTTGTGTTTGTTATTTTCAAAGGAAAGACACAACTTTAAATTTTTATCTAAACACAGTATACAATTTTTACAAGCTTTCATAGAAAGACTTCAGAATATCTTAAATCTTAGATAAATATTTTTTTCAAGTTCAAGTTTTTAAGTTGACAAATTATAATGGAAGAATATTCACTTATAGTATATTACTGTATCTTTGTTATGAATACTGTGTTTGTCGGAAATAAAATTGTATCTAATAAACGTGTATTTGAAGACAGTGCACCAACATTTGTTTTCGGAAATGGCACCAAAAAAGTATGTTCAGTTGATGGAAATCCCATTTCTTCCATTTTAATTAGAAAGTCCTAAAAACAATTAGTTATATATTACATATTTTTATTTGTATAATTTTACAGTAATAAGAAAATATTTCAAGAACATACTTCTATAGTATCTGTTGCACACATTGATATTGTTTCCTTTGTACCATTTGGCAGTCGTAGGCAGAGCCGTAAAAAGGGTTCATTACCTGGATTTAAAAATAATTTATAATTATAGAATATAGAATATTGTAAAAGTGTATGAAAAGTTTTGTATAAATTAATGTTGTGCTTACTTGTTTCAGCTTTAACTATATTAGATTTTAATTTTTCATCTTTTAGTTGTTTATCTTTAGCCTCACATTCGTTCAGCTTTCTTTTTTTATTAAAGGCAGTGTTACTGCTACTTGGAATACTTGAACTTGTAATATTATCTGATGTAACATTTTCATTTTCTGTAAATGTTATAATACAAACATTGAAGAAATTGAATAAAATGGTGCTTTATAATAAGATATGCAATTTTGCAAAGTGAAGAAATCAATAACATGGTATACATATAATTATTTTTTATATTATTCATTTAAATTAAAAAAAATACTAACCTAAATTTGTTATTTTTTCAGATAAAAGTCTAGAAGTTTTGCTACTAGGACCACAATCCTGAAAAAAGAAGACATAATTAAAAAAAATATATTTAAAAAATTGAGAATTATTAGTGATAAAATTTAATAACTAACATTCTTTATTTGATCAGCTAAAGGATTCCGTTTTGGAGGCGTTGTAGGAAAATTATTCCAATCTTTAGAATTGGATGCAACATGTGAAGCGCTTTCTGGAGATGCATGTGTGCTTAACATATCATTCAAATCAGACATCAGACTATCCACAGTGATGTTATTATAAGTTTTCATACATTCTCCTGTCCTGGGATCTACAATTGCCAGGTATGGATATGCCACTACATTGTAAAAATCTATGTAACGTCTTCCGTCCGATGAATTACACAAAACCTGATTTAAAAAAATGGAAAGAATAGAGTATGGCAATAAATCAAAATATAAATTATATAAAAATAGCATCATAATCTGATATGACATACTTGCCACAGAACAAAATGATCCTTCACTATTTCTTGAATTTGTTGATTGGGCCATACATCTCTATTAAGAACTTGGCAACTAAATTCTTGTGGATTCTGAACATTGACAAGTAACCAACGATTCAGAGTTTTTGCATGGTCTCGCGCCTCCATGAAGGAGCCCAAAAAGAGAATATTGCTTGGTGGTCTGAATAAATCTTCTAATCGTTTTGATTTCTTTTGGGAAATGTGTCTCATACCAGTTACTCTATGAGTCATCTCCTCTTCTTGTCGCTCTGCATCAATTTGTATTATGCAATATGTAATATATATCAATTAATATAAATGTCATACATTAAACTTACGCGTTTCTACAGCAAAGTCTCTGAATCTATCGAACACATTATTTGACAACCGTGGAAATGAACACATTGGCTCTGATGGCACCAATATCTCTTGCGTGGGTAGTATAGGAGCTCTGACTGGTGGTTCAGGATCTGAATTCTCAATCTCCGGTGGTCTGCCACTCTCAAACATAAGACTAATCGCCATCTCCACGTTTCCCTCAGCCAATGACAGATACTGTTGTGCAGTCGCCTCACTCTCACCTAACACAAAATTTGACAATACTTGGCATCAAATACATCAATTCGTAGCGAAATATTCGGATAATAATCCTCGATATTGTTGTAATACATTTAAATAGACGTATGTTCAAAATCCCGCGATTCTTGCTTGTTGTACCGTGTAACCTGAACGTGACGATGCGTTCTCGCGCTAATACTTTGATAAAAGTACTCACCCGTCACTTCGATGAACTTCTCAATTAATTCGCGGTCCATCGCGATCAGCTGTAATTTAGAAGGATTTTTCTCGTCGCACAAATACGCGATTGTCGAAGAAAAATGCTTCTAAATCTTTTTTTCACTTTTTCTTTCTCTCTATCGCCATTCACCACGCACCGAATGACATCTCGAACATTATCTCGACATGCTGTACGTTGCTTCGCTTTTCAATACACCCTGCACTTTTTACACCACACTACACCACTGTAATGTAAAATATTACAACGCAATAGGACCAGGCTCTTTTTAGGTAATTTCTCTCGAAATATATTCATTAAAAACTACAATTTAAAATTATAACTGTGATATTAATTTTGAGCAAATAATTAATAAATTATATCTCTGCAACTTTAAGATATATTATGTATATATAAGATATATATATATATATATATATATATATATATATATATATACATATATATAATAGAGTATAATATCTTGTTTTTGTTATACTTTATTATTATTTATCTTGCTTATATAATTATATTTTTTCATACGTATACAGTGAACGAGAAAATTATTTTCAAAACTTTTGTAATATTAATTATATAAATTATATATAAATGCAATATATTTATGTTTGCACATGTATGAGAGCTAGAGAGAAAAATAATTGATTTGATATATATATATATATATATATGTACATGATTATAATTGTTATACTAATTTTTAAATATTATTTTTTTAGACGATCATCATCAAGATCATCGATTGACAAGGTTATCTGAATTCCTTTTATAAATATGCAGCTGTACATTTTGTGTCGTAGGATCATAAAGAAGAATAAATCTAGAATTAAAATGAAGAACAAGAGTATATAAATTGCAACAAAATTTTTTAGAAAGATTAGAAAAATATATATTAAATTTCGTCTTTAATTATGTCGGTAATAATGTTCTGGATTTTATCAGCATAATCTATGTGTGCGACAACTAACGGACTCTGTCGGAGTAACATGTCACTTGGTCGCATTATTTGATAACGATTTTACACATTCAAAATTTCTTTATAACGGAGAACCGAAAGTGTGTGTCGCGAGATGAATCAAAATACAATTTTTGTGAAAAATTGAAGCGCAGGAGAGGAAGGAGAGAAAGAATTTGCGATAGGGATTTGTGGAAAAAGACAAGATGAGCGTTACCGGTAAACAGCTGTACGATAAAATTCGCGGGCTACGCCCGGACTTGTCATCAGGGATTTCATCGGAATATTTGGGCAAAATCTACGATGATTCTAGCACACAACCTTTTCTGGAGTGGTTTTGTAAGAATGTGAGCGGCGCTAATGTTCTTTCTCTGGAGGAAATAAAATTGTAAGTTGTAACTATGCTTTTCTTGCATCATCATGGTTAATTGGGGAATATTTCTTACAGTCTGCCTTTGTTTATTTACAGAAAAAATACATTGCAAAATACTGACGAATGGCTAGAAGACAAAGCATTGGAGGCTGCATTAGAGGAAGCAATCAAAGAATGTCCAGACTTGCTCCAACTTGTCAGTGTGGATGATACATATAAAGAAGATTTGTTTGCGGAATATGAAACATTGAAGGAAAGCTGTAGAAACAGCGAGGAGTATCTTCAAACGTTGAAACACAGTATAAAAAATTTAAAGTTAGTAACACGTGAAATTATATATTCAAGATACTTGTATGTTAATGAAATGATTTATAGATATGAATTTATTATAGGGACGTTGAGAATAAGCTGGATGATGAGATTGAAGAAGTGGAAACTATGCTGGATAAAGAGCAGATTGAAATAGAAAAAGCATATGATGATTGCAGTGTAATTTTGAAGGAATTTGATAAAAATAATTGTCAATTTTCTAAAGATGTTCATAATCTTCTAAATATATATGCAGATGCTGCTAGAAATGTAATTATTTCAAGTTTTATTTCAAACTTTATAATTGCTTCTTATTATTCAATGTTTCATTACTTTTCATTTTCATTTTCTTTTCTAGCAAGGTAATCCAGTATTATGGTCACAAATGCCCATAGATCTGTTTATTAAACAAATTGAATTGTATAATCAGTATCTGGGTATTTATATAAAAAAGCAATTTGGTGACGCTAATAAGAGCAAGAAAGAGCAAGAAGAGGATTTGGATTATGCATCTCTAATAAATGATAGTAGGGAGAAACAATTAGATGAAAGAATGTATATGTTATCTTTGTGTAAGACTAAGTAAGTATAACTGAACTTTCTAACAAAGATGATTAAATAATTAATTTTATTCAGTTTGTATATTTTATTTTGTTTCACAGTTTGATAAATTCTAAAATGAAAGAAATTGATACTAGTGTTCAAGAGGAGTTTTATATGGCAATGTTACAATGTGCGCAAGATATCTACAATGATAATGTTTTGAAGGTGCCTAAAGATAGTAAATTACAGTAAGTAATAACACTATTGACATAAAACTATTTTGAATTTTTGGTACTAAAACATTCAATGTTATATAATTTGAACATGGTAGAAAAAGAAAAAACATTCTGCATTTAAATGTAATGTTTTGTTATCTATAAAACATTATTACAGTGATGAAATACAAATGTTAAGCATGAAAAAGGATTTTCTGGAGAAGAATGTTGAACTTTTGCTAGATCAACAGTTGTCTCAAGTGGAATGGTTTGCAGAAATGGAGATATTAAAGATTTTGAAGAACAATGCACTTGCTCGTCTCGAACGTAGAAAAACTCGTCTCGAAAAACTCAAGAATTTATATTCTTTCGCAGTAACGCATGGACATGTTTATGTGGATTTATTATGTATGTTAATGGAGATGCAATTTTGTTCTCTACGCGAGGTTGCTGAATTTATCGCCGATGCTCATCATTACATCACCACAGAATATAAACTGTCTTCTACAAGATGCGTAAGTTTCTTCATTATTTTAATGGAAATGATAATTTGCATTATTCACATGAAAAACATGTATGAAATGTGTAGGAAGTCATGCAGCAACAACAAGACGAATATGCAACCCTCGTAACGCAGTCTCCGAAAACTTGTAATGTATTTAATCAAATATTCATCTCCATGATGCTCGGTAATGATATGTCGGACGAGTCACTCTCTTCGGCGTTGAAAAATACGATGACCTAATAGCTGACAATATGGAGAAGAAGAAATTTATATTGGAAACACATATAAATAATGAAATCGATGAATTACAAAAATTGTAAGTATTGTTTTCTTTAGTAATCTTGTGGTCTAACTGTGATGTGCTATCTTTATATGATTCTTATGGAATTATAGAGAGGATGAAGTTAACAAGGATTATATGACTGAAATACAAACTGGACCAACAATCAGCTTCAATCCAATTATTTCATACGAAATAAACAACAAATGCGAGGAAATATCCACGATTGTTCAAGAGATGCAAGGAGATATAACAAAAATCAGGAATCAATTCAAAGAACGAATGGTACATACTTGATGAATCATTACTGTATTATGTGTGTGTATATTGTTTGCTAATAATTGTCATATTATAGAGAATGGACATCAATCTAGAACGCGAAAGAGACATTTTATGGCAGAGATTTTTGGCAGAGCCAGACACGTTAAGAATGAAATACAAGGAAGCAGAACAAAAAGCAAATGAATCTCACTTTGGACACAATTGCGGAAAATAAGGTGAATTCATAAATTAATTAATTAGAAAAATTACGTCGATCACAAGTTGTCAAGGAATTGTATAAAGGAAAATGTATAGATTCTAGTGAATCCTCTGTTATTATATTTTTATATTTTGTAAAATTAAAACAATGCAACTTAATAGCAAAGTCGTACACATTTGCGCAAAATTTGATCTAAAAATTCTTCCAATTTTTTTACGTCATTAGAAAAAAAAAAAATTTCTTCGCTTTTGGATGATACGCTTTGCGTGTTACGTGGCTGCAATAATGAATGATTCGTCTCAAGGATGCGTGTATGTATGCGTGCATCCCGGGCGCATGCGCATGTGCGAGTGTAAACTCGACGAAAGATGACGTAGAAGAGGTACCCAAGTGTAACCTTGATCCGCGCGCATCGATGTCCCTCCCTCCCCCCTCTCACCCCTTTCTCTCATCGATGTTGTCCTCTCTCTCTCTCTCTCTCTCTCTCTCTCTCTCTCTCTCTCTCTCTCTCTCTCTCTCTCTCTCTCTCTCTCTCTCTCTCTCTCTCTCTCTCTCTCTTCTTTCATCCTTCAACATAGTATTTCGTTCAAACCGTCTCCCAAATATGTATGTACACAAAAGAATCATAAGTAAACATTATTTATCCGTATACATTTATATATTTTATACATTTATATATTTTATATATTTATATATTTATATATTTTATAAATTATATTTTATATATTATTTATATATTTTATAAATTATATTATATACTTATATAAGCGTTATATATTTTCGTACGAAACGATATGCTTTTCGAAAGCGACATACAATTCGCGTCAATACAAAGAAAGAGAGACAGAGATAGAGAGATTTTGAAGAGAGAAAACTGCGGCGGATAGATTGACGAAAAAGAGAAAGAGAGGGAAAAAAGATGACAGAACGGGGAAGTGGCGTGGCGAGGAGTATTATCGATTCGCCGGGGCTCGTGAGTTAACGGTTTGTTTACACGAACGCGGGGCCGGGCGGGCAGAGTGGGACAGGCAGCGCGCATGCGCGGCCCGACGAAAACAATAATAACAGAGTAGAAGGTTCATGGCTGGCGGACGCGTACGGACGACCGCTCGCTCTTCGTTGTTTCGAACTCGTTCGAGCCTGTCGTAGGACCGAGGTTCGCGCGCGAAGAGACTCGGCCTGTCACGCGAAATTGCCGGCACCCGGCTGCGAAACGGAAAGAAAGACGGACATTATTCGCCAACGCGCTCTGTGTATATATATATAGTGTGTGTGTGTGTGTGCGTTGACAATCCGATACTTCTGCGAATTTTCTTCGACAGGGGGTCAGTTTCGCGGAATCATCTTCGAGGCGAGGAATACATCGAGACTACCTCGAAAATACCACGAAGAGAAGTACTTAAGTCGAAACTCATCTACGAGGCGTGCCTGCAAACGTGTGTGTGTGTGTGTGTGTGTACGTATGTATACATACATATATACATACCTGCTTCGATTAGTTTGACAACCGTGAGAAACAAGTGGACGAGCTGCGTAAGGAATTGTAATAACTACCTCGACAAGAAAAAATAAGCGAACTAAGGTATTTAACAAGTAAGACATTCTCAAAACTCTAACGTACATAATAACATTCAATTGGAAAGTGGTGCGTCAAGTATACTATCGTCATCGAGGCTCGCTCTCGCCGTGCGGATTCTCCTCTTCCTCTCCCCCGGAGAGTGCGTTACCTCATCGGTGCGTGTGCGCGGTTGTGCAACTCGTCACCCTGATTCGACATCCACAAGAGAAAGAGAGAGAGCGAGATTCGATCCGGTCTCTGGAAGCAAAACAATGCTGCTGGTGTAGCGCGTCGCTCCATTTGCGCGCGCGTGTATATATATATATACATATATATAAATATATGTATGTGTGTGAGTGCGCGCATACCTGTATACGTACGTACCTGCCTGCGCGGCGCGCTAGTGTGCGTTTGTTTATGCGCGTAGATTAGCCGCGCGCGACATTCATTCAACAGCCAGACGCGCTTCGACGCGCGACTCTCCGTCATCGTCATCATCATTTGGAAAGCGAGCGAGTGAGAGGGTGTCGTCTCGCGTGTATTTGTCCAGTGAATCACCAGCGAGTCCTAGTGTGATTACGCACGGCCGGATACGACGTGTATACATTATATTGTTGACGTGTCGTGGCCAAGAAGGAGATAGGACGAGTGGAGCGGTTAAATTATTTATCCTTTCATCGTGAAGAGAAGGAGTAAGTCTCTCTCTCGCACAGCCAGGTTTTCCTCGTTTGGAAGAAAGTCTTTCCAGTATTTTCGACTGTTGACGTTGGTGTTTTTTCGCAGGAAGAAGTCGCACGCAGCGTGATTTTGTGTCTCGCTTCCGCCGTACCTCCGCGATTGTCTCCCTGTGTTGTGTTGTCGACGAGAGAACGTCGACCCACGTAAACATCGGCGCGAGAAAGAGAGGAGAGACGTTCCGCAGCGTGGAAAGAGAAGGACAGTGTCCAGAGACCAGAGAGAGAGGGAACAACAACAGTGAGAAACCGTCCAGGTTTTTCCACTGCACATTTCCTAGCAGTCAGTAGTGAACTTGCAACGCGAACACCTCCGTGAACATCCTCTTCTAGCGGACGTAAACAAGACTGCCGAGAGGATGCCGAGTGCCGAGGAGACGACGTACCTGATCGGAGTGATGCCGGACGGGGCGGCGCAGGCGGACGCGTTCCTGACGCGCGACGTCGACCTGCTGGTGTCGCAGATCAAGGAGAATCTACGGCTGTCCAGCCTGAAGGCCAAGTCCAGCGTCAGCCATAAGAACAACCGGCCGTCGCCTTACCGGATACCTCGTTCCTGGGCCGACCCAGCCGCCGGTTGCGAGGTCTGCGGCCTGCGATCCAGCGGCCAGTCTCACCATCAACAGCAACAACAGAATCACGTGACCGGCCCGGGTCATCAACATCATCATCATTATCATCATCACAGCCACCTGAAGAGGAGCGAGAGGAACAGAGTGGACGACGATCCGTACGAGGTGCTGCAGGAGTTGCTGCGCGAGGGAGGCCTCATCAAGGAGGCGGTTAAGAGGCTTCAAGCGAACCTGGACGAGCTCTCGAGCTCGGAGGTGGACGAGGACGAGGAGGTGGATGACGAGGACGACGATCAGCGGTCCAACGCGGGTGGCTACCGCAGGAAACCGTACTTCTACGATTCCGAGGACGAGCCTCTACCGCCGATGTACGAGCCCCTGGAACTGTGAGGCGAGAGTGCTTGAAGAAAATGTTCTGAACGGCAACTTCTTTGAAGATCTCTCTCTCTGCTCGAGAACTTTCCTACGGACATTGCTCCGAAATGAAAACTCGTTTCCTTTGTGTCCCGGTTATTGTGCGATCCGGGACAACAGATTTGAAAAAGGTAGCGCAAGGGTCCCCCTTCCTCTTCTAGCGAAGCGGTAAGGATTAAATAATATTCCCGCAAAAATGCATTTCCTTCCGCTTTACGTCGGAGGAGAACACGCGGGGAGTTGGTTAGGCGAGAAGCGGGAGGCACAATTAGGCGAGAACTCGCCTTACATGGCCGTGTTTGTAAATACGCCGCGTTGTCGGCGCTGCGCGCTAAAGCTCGCTTCGTAATGCCTCGGTCGAGATCGCCGTCGTATCGACGCTCGACGCGGATCTGGTCTACGTGGAAGACTTATGGCCGCGCGCGGACTCGAAGATGTTCCTTTCCCGTAACACGTCGTTTCTGTACTGTGTTAAACGCTATATTTCGTCGGTATCAAATTGAAATTTCAATTAATTCTAATGTCGCTGGCGATGATTAATACGATGATTTTATTTCATTATGGTTACGACGCGATTGATTATTATTATTATCATTTATTTTTTACTTTGGAATCCATATATGCGAATTGTTTCTTTTCACGAGCGGTGCTCTGTATTGTATATGTTTGTGTCGATACCCCAAATTATGAAATGTCGCCGGCGATACGATCATAACACGCGGGATGTAATTTTTTTAGTTTTTATTTTTTTGTAGAAAATTATCTCGATTCTTTAACATTCTTTTTCTTTGTATGATACGTATTTTAATTGTCTAAAATATGTACACTGACAATATTTGTTATCACAGTATAGAGTACTTCAACAATCGATTCGTTGCGAAACTCTTGATTATTGCTTCAAGTACTATAGTACGAATTTTTGTAGATACAGAGAAGAAGGATTACAAAAGTATGCACTATGATATTAGCATTCGTATAATACATTTTATTTAATGAAGTGTTTTGCTGATTCAGAGATTTATTATATATTTTTTCGATGCTCTTATAATTTGAGAAAACTTGCAAATTCTTGGGAGAAAATTGCAAATTTTTCTTTAAAATGCTTTGAAATTATTAATTACATATTTGTATACGTTAACATTTCAAATATTATCAGATATTACATCAGTTGCTTATATTTTCTCTGATATATAAAGAATTAATCTAACACGTCATCTCTTGCATTCGAATTCGTTTCTTGCGAATCGTTTAGTTTGAATTGCATCAGATGTCAACTAATTTCAAGTAAGCCATGTCATTGTTTTGATTATAGATTAGATGAAGAAATATTTAATTGATTTATTGACTCAATGGATACAATTTATTAGTGTATGATATACATTTATTTTTCTTCTGATCGGAGTTTGTGACTCGCACCGAAGCCTTTATATGTAGTTTAAATTCAACAAAAAATAACACAGTTCGGTATATGTATATCTGTAGAAAGTCTCTTTTTATGCTGCACTTTGCCGTCCACATTGACACACACGCACTCTGTCCTTCTCTCTCACACGATCTCTTTTCTATCTCGACCGCCTATTTTTTTCTTTCCCACCGATTTCCCCGCAACGTGAACATTATCTACATCTTTGACATTTTACATCTCTTTGTTAATACTCGAGCGCGTCAAAATTGCTCTAAATGACTAGATAGAATCCCGTTTTTTTATTTTAAAATTGTTACAATCTTTAAGAGTTTATAAACTTCAGTTATTTTTTCTTAATATACAATGTTATAAATAAAATGTACACTCAACTAGATATTGAGATTTGACATTTATACAACGAATCTCAGTTTAATTCTCACGATGCATTCTCGCAGATGTAAGCATTTTCGTGTAAAACCTTCGCGCCGACCTCTTTTTATCTCCTTTGTTACTTTCGCTGCTTTCACCGAACGACAATATTTTGTATCCTTTAAGGGTTAATAAAGGACGCAGCTGTCGGGGAACTAGACCGAGCTTATGTTAAACCATCAAAGTTGATCGGCTGGTCCGCATAAGATGAAAAAATAAACGAGATCGATGTCTATGTATGTGTACATCTTTCTCTCTTAAAGATATTACATTCCTGATATTTCCGCCACACAATACAAAGACATCGATGATCGTTTGATAGAGTGCAGTTTATTGATCACGATTCTTGCTTGCTTAAATTGAACTGTGGTAGAACTCGATACTCTAACAGCTTGTAAAATATCTTGAGCGACATTCATGTATTATTTTACAGAAATTTAAAATTTGTATTGTATTTTTTCAAAATTTGCAATACCGAAATTTTTTATCTAATTCAGATAAAATATTTTCTTTTTTAAAGGAAGTTGTGAACGACAATTCATCTTCGTCGTGCTATGTAACTCCCGGGTTTCCTTGCGGGTGGTATCCTCGTTCTCTAACAGAAACTCTATTTATAGAACATCCACACGAGTGCTTGCGTGAGATAATAATTCGACGCGTTTGCTAAGTAAATCAATAAATGAACAAGATTCGCTGTATTTACCTCGTAGGAAACTCGAGACGGAATCTCAGAATGTATTACGTTTCGCACTTTAAGGATTAGAGAGTTTCTACCGTATTTCGAATCAGTAAGCGTGCAAGTACGCTTACAAGTAGTGCAAACTCAACAAGAGGGGAAACCGTTGTAGCGCGAACTTTATAATAATTATAAAATAATTAGCTAGTATTATTTTATAGTACTTGTGTGCGATATCCGAAGTATAGCATTGTAAAAAGATACTTTCTATATATATATATATATATACACACACACACCTAAATTGCGATCATTATCTTTTGTTGATTTAATTAGACTCCGAAGCTATTAGTGCGAGGCAAACAAATTTCAAAACAAAATTATATCATATTAAACAAATAAAATTGTATTTATTGAGTTCGGTAAATTTACTAAATTCTTTCTTTTTTCGTCTAATATAATCGAGATAACTACTGGCTTACTTGAAATTAGTTAGCGACTTTTGATGCAATGCAAACTAAACGAGATGACGTGTCTGATTAACTGTTCAAATATCAAAGAAATAACCTATTGATCTAATTTTTGAAAATATTCGAAATATGTGTATTATGTATATACAAATAATGTATTATTAATATATACATATATAATATTAATAATAATTTTAAAACATTGAAAAAAAAACAAAATGCTTAAAGAGTAGATTTCTTATAAAATAAAATGTATGATACGAATAACAGTATCATAGTGCATAATAATAACATATAGATTTATAGATATATATGTATATCTCTTTTTCTGTGCATGTTTTAGTGCATAGCTACTTATCGCTATCGATCGCTATACATAGGAGAGACACACTGTTAATGTTACATACACATTGTACCCACACGTAAGATCATTGTACGCGTGTATTGTATACGCGGCATGATGGTATTCCATTGTCGCGTGATTCGCCTCGCGCATGAATAAAGATAAGATCCACATCTGTAGTAAGGATCCCGGGAGCGGAGGCAGCCGCGTGACGTCACGAACCCCGATAATTATTTATATCGAAGGCAATTATTATTTCACTCGATAACTACTAGTTATTAATGCCGTATTCGCGGGAAATGAAAACCGCGGCCAGCGTGTTCGTTTTTATTCTTGAACCTCGCGATCAATTTGTAGAAGCTTTTGATTATTCCTGGGGCGCGTGTGACGTCACAACTGCAGCGTCCGGGATTTTATTATAGACGGCGATGGTATAAAATGCGGTCGCGACACGGTGACGCAATAAAACGGCACACTTGTACGTAGCGATACGAAGCGATCGTTCGCAGCTTCGGCGTTGATTTCCGACGACGTTGGTCGCCTTATCCGACTAATTAGATAAGTTTAGCAATTAGTACATATTGCGCGTACCTACTGCGAGCGGAGTGAACGATAATTCGTGTCAGGATACCATAGTTCCGACGAGGATGCTTGTATACATATGCGAGTATGTTTATGTATGTGCGTGTATATGTATGCGAGAGAGTGTGCGTGTGGAAAAATGTGTATTTGTCATTTTTTTCTTTTTTTTACAATTACGAGTGTGAGCGCAATCCTTCGTTCTTTTCTAAGTTCGTCGTTAAGGATCGTGCGTTACGAAAAAAAACTATATCTCGTTGTGATCGTTGGGCTCGCAAGTCCGACAAGTCTTAATTATAAAATAAAGAAGTTCAAAGTTTCGATTGCTGATTCTTGTCGGTCGCGCGTTGTCGCGCGAAAACTTTCCACCGATCCTCCGCACTTCTCTCTTCCTTCATCGTCATCAAACGTTGGTATCAAACGGTTCTGCTTGGTGTCCGATGACGGAGCGTGCCACAAATACATCGTGGCATCATATAGGATGTCTTGTTATTACGATCCTTCTCTTGCGCGAGCAATTTCTCTTTAGCGAATTGATTAGCGAAAGATTGAAATAATTATAAAAATTATTTTGCGCGATATTATAATTTAATTGAGTCACAGGTACAGTATCCAGGTAGTTAGGTACTTAGGTACCTATAAACGGATGACGAAAAATTTCATTTCACACCAATTTTGAAAATAGATTTTAATGCGATTTTAATTTCAGGTTTTTGCTTATTGTCGTTTGATATTGGAGCTCAGCGCATTATATACTTCCGCGAAATTTGCCTTAGAGCAATATTGACTCGTGTTTCGTCAAACCGAAGGCCTGTCATCATCAGAAACGGCGGTACAGTAACGGGACACCCTGTATAGTCAGCAGTTCACTGGCCTTCTGATCGTTGGCGCGCATTGAAGGTATTCTCCGTGCCAGCTTCTAGAAATTTGCTTTTAGCCTTACGTTCGTCGATCTATCTCGCGTTGATGGTAACCGCGAAACGTCGTGATAAACCGTCCGTGTTACATGAAACCGCGATAGATATATCTCGGATTTTTCACGGCGGCATTTGATATTCTGCAAGCCTTTAAAACTTATCCATATACCGATACTGCATTCTTTACTTTAAATCCATTAATAACGCATAGTAACATTCAATTTTTCTTCTCGCATTAGCAAGAGGACTGTTTTTATAATAAATTCTCGCACAAAAGAGTCGACAGCACGATAATAATAATAGCAAAATCTAAATTATGGTTTTTAAAAGTCCTTGCGGGTGTAAAATGAAACTGACATATTTTTACGAGCCACTTTGTTCGACGCTTCTGACCTGAAACTGGCGGCTCGAGACAAAAAGGAAAAGGTCGGTTGTCGATTTCAGGTGGACGGTTCATTTAACAACTCGTGTCTTAAAAATTACTCACTTTGGACACGAGACAGTTGTCTTGTTGGTGCGTAACGCAACGCGATTATTATCGTGTTGCGTAATATAAATGGCGATTTATTATTATTTAGTCTTGACTTTAATTTAAAAATAATGACTTAAGAAAATTTCAATTTAAACTTTGAAAAATTTGATAGTGGCTATATTATTACTCAGCATATCTATTTTTATATTTTTTGTGTTATCTTTTTATGTAATTTTGTATTTCTATAATTACATAATATGATACTGTCTATAATATATATATATATATATATATATATATATATATATATATATATAGTAATAATTACTTATAAATAATACTTGAGAATTGTATAAGTAATTATTTAAAGATGCTATTGCATAACATATGCATATATATATATATATTCTAATAGTTACAAACAACTACAATTGTGCTGCTCGATTGCAAATCATAAATAATATTTATTTTTTGCAATGAGAAAATTCCGGGATTGGAAAGGCTAACGAGTTCGTTCGATCTGTAGAAAAGTCAAATGTCATCGTGAGACAGCATTCGAAAGCAAAGATTGTTAGGAGTTGGTTGTTTTCGCGAGTCACGTCACTATGGTCGTTGTTAAAGTCTTTTATCGAATGACTGGCGACATTCCTGGGTTAATAAAAATGCACGAAATCGAAGAATAAATCGAGCGAGTGAGTAACTTTCGGCTATTTCTCGCTTTTTTGATGCAAATACGAAATTACGAAATCTTAGCTAACAAAGTGATCCGTTTTTGTCAGGAAGAAAATTTACGTCAACGCGTGCAACGTTGATATGAGAAAAACTCTGTATATATGTGGACACGAGTATATTTCTTACTTTTCCTTTTATGCAATTAGATTTTCCCGGATAATCCTATTTATCGAGTCGTTGCTGCTCGCTTTATCGCGTAACCGAGATAATCAATGGATACACTTGTGTTAAACTCGCGACGCGAAAATAAACGATGGAAAACTTGGCGCAATTTGACCTAATTCAAGTACGTCCATTTATACGTTTGTCTACCATCTGTCGTCGCGATTCGTGTTGACATAGATGTTAATTTTACATTAATAGAGATATTCGCGCGCAAGAAACATTCAAGTTTATTAATAATAATGTAGAAGATTTCTGTGAAACGGAGTATATACGACATTTTCTCTTGAACTCTTATCATATTTTCGTATACTTCTATATATAAATTTATTGTTATTGTGCGTAATAATATTTTTAGCAACGATATCTCTCGCCTTATCAAATCAGCTTTGCAAGATTTTATTTGCAAGCAGATATTCATTCGATATAATTTTTATTTGATTCGAAAATACCCGATGACTTACAACGTATCTAATATACGTGAATCCTGTCACGTTACCAATACATAATTTAAGATCTGTATGATAAAACATAGCTGTTCTGATAAAGAGTTAAATTGCCTGAAAGAATTGCGTTCTTGTTATATCAAGGCTTTCCAGTTAGCTGATAAAAATAACAGTAAGCGATACGATGTAAAATTCAATAGATAATCTCATTTTTCATTTCTTTGTTCCTAGTCTGAAGCGATGGTAAATGTTTTCAGCCCTAAACAATTTGTATAATTGATTTCATCGACGCGGTAACGAGACATACTTTTTACATTTTGCATTAACAAATAGTATCTTATATAATACGTGTAACATTCGCGCGACCTTCAGGCAAGTTTCTTTCAGTCTGTCGTCTGTAAACTGAGAATAGGATTCTACATCGACTATAGTTTGAAAGAAAACCTTGCGCTATAATTGTACGCGAGACGCTATTGTGTTTCACGTTTTTGTGATTTTTAGCGATTTTTACTAACAAATCATATCTTCGAAAGAAAATAGACAAAATTATCACATTTCAAGATTTTTCGAAATTTATTAGCTTCTGATAAAGCGAGAGATTATATATTTATTAAATGTAACTAAAAACGTTTACATAGTTTATGTTATGAATCAGATTCATATAATGAATCATCGAGTTTTTCAACCAAGAAACATCGGATTAATATATGTTGCGTCATCCCCGAAATGCACGAGATAATGCGAGAATTGATCTGCACTTATCGCAGCGACAGTATTACATTAACAATACATAATATTTTTCCATTGATACGAAGCGAGAGATGCACTCGGACAAAAATCCTTTGTCAGTGTTCGAAATTTTTTTGCTATTTATTCGTAATTATAAAGCGACAAGTTTGATATAAATTTTATTCTCGACGACAGTAAGCGACATGGTCGTAAGTCAACAATTCGAACGTCTAATAACAGATATCGACCTTGTCTGTGTGTTGACACAGATTTCGGCGCGAGATAGCGAATGCGATGCGACCTAGTTGCACGTTGAAAGAAAACGACGTGTACGCATTATATTATAATGATCTCGATTCCTGTTAACATATTGGTCACGGTTAGTCTTCCGGCGTCTGCGTGTTGTACATGAGAATTGGCTAATCAAACCAGAATATGTGGATATTTCAATTTTTTTTTTTTTTTTTTTAAGTTCTCGAAATTTGAATTCTTTTAATTAATATTTATTATTTTTATGGATATCAGTATATTTAATACATTAAGTGTTTGATGAGAAATGTACTTTACGAAAACACATCTTAAAATTAGTAAACATAAGAATGTACGGCGGCATTGTAAGCAAACGTTGCGTCAGATCGCGTCATCGTTTAAAGGCTCGGCTGTTGTCGGCCATCATCGACTGCTGTCGGCCACCGCGCGCCGGCTGACTGATTGTGAACTGTCAGATGGTCACGTGCTCGCACTCGGCTAGCTCGGCCGTCATCGGTTGTCGTCGGCGGTCAGCTGATTTGGTCATGTGACCGCGGGCCGAACTGTCAGATTATCACGCGTCGTTGTCGCTCTTGATAACGGACTTGATATGAGCGTGATTCGCGTACGTATAAAGAAACACGATTTCCGGTAGCCTCGCGCAGTGATCACGTCGTTATTCTTGCCCATTACTTCCGGTCATAAGTGACGGTCACACCTGCAACGAGACGGAATAACGCAACGGAGAAACCATCGCAGCATCACCTACAAACAACATGGCGGAGTCCAATCACGCGGCCTCGTATGTTATGATTTATATATTTTATTATATGATTTATATATATATATATATATATATATATATATATATTCAATCGCGCAATGTTTTCATCGTGTCGTTGCTCTTCGTAATTTGTGCGCGTCTTTTTATATTCGAGATATGAGAACTGTGCACTTTCGATGCAGTTTTGTTTTTGCACGTCAAAGTGCGCAAAAAAATAATCATATGTTTACGACAGATCGAAGTGATCTGTTTTTTTTTTATATTTATGATATGAAAAATTGATCTCGTCAAAATTGTATGAATCATTAATTACAATTATTAATTTCTATATTCGCAAAGAAGACGCGTCATGAGAAGTTGGTCGATGATATAAATTTGCGATAATTTTTGCAGTGAACAAAATGCAAAATAGAGCGTTGACGGTGCTCGTGCGATTAAATTGTGAAATTGCTCGAGTTTGCCTGTGGCTAGAATCACCTTTTCTCGTTCAATCGAGCTCGCTTTCCCCTGACCCGATCGGATTTTGAGGTTATGGCGCGCTGCGAAACTCGCTCCGTTAGAATCGCATTGACCCTTGGACTGTTTGATAACAGCACTTGTACGAGATAATAATAGGTTCGCTCGGAAGAGATTGTAATAGGAGGTCTCATGACTTCAACCGTAACATCGCATGTAGTAGGTCGAATTAATTGAAGGTTTCTTTTCATGTTGATTAATTTATCCTTAGATAGTGATATTAATAGTACTTATAAAAGAAGTAGTAATGATAGAGAAAGAGAGAACAATTTTTAATCTTCGAATTATATCATTCTCGAATGAAAAATGATAATTCGACATATAAATTTATGTATGTATAACTAGTTGCATTTACTGATGAACGTGTTTTTATTTCACGCGCTTGCGAAAAACAGATTTTCTTATAGAGAACTTAATAAGGTTTCTAGGTTACCAGACTTGCGTGTGGAATTTAATGACGCGTTGTTTATGTTTACATTATCCTTAATTATGCTAAACGTATACTCGGTCGTTTCGCGTGAAACAATAATAGCTCTTAAAAATACAGATAATTCTATTTTGGTTTACATAACAATTTCCGAAGGCATTAGCATTTAACTTTTTTGCGAATTATTTATATTGACCACAAAAAAATTTAACACAAGATTTGCTTATAAATGAAGTAAAAATTTCTCATCTACCGTATGGAATAATTTTAAAATTTGCTAGCAATTTTATTATTACACTTTTTTATGTAATTTCTTTTTTATCAGTCGAATAACATTTCTTTCATATAAGTCGTTCACAATTACTACTATTTTTAAAATATTTGACGTGAAAAGCTGGATTGTTCTCGTGCTTCAATCTGATTCTCGATGACATAACTGGAGTAGAACGATAGGTTCATGGTATTATCAGTCTTTTAGCAGCTGCTATATCATGTACGTCGTATCACTTACGGTAAATAAAACAGCGAATCGTTATCGACGCTGTTTGTAGGCCTCTAAATTTCGAGCCACTCTAAATTGATCGTCCGTGTGTTTCAATGTCAACGTTTTACGTAATGCTGATGCGTATACCGAGACGCCTTCTTTTTTTTCTCGTCGATAAACAGTGTCATTATTTGTCTGGTTGCATATCGCGATAAGGACGATTTTAATGAAACTAAAAGCTATAAAATTATTGCAATGTAATGTCGTCAAGAGAAAATGACTTGTCCATGAGATTAGATAATCGCATTAATTTTTTTCCTTTTAGTTGGTAACGTGACATTTTGCAACGTAATAAGATATCATTTTCTGGAGCAAACAATATTCGCGACATATATATATATTTAATTCGTCTATTACTTAGCTGTGTAATTCTTTCACACGCTTTATTAGCGTGTGAAGATGTTATTGTGCTCCGTTTGCTTTTGTATCAAAAAGCTCGTGTCAAACGTGTCTGCTCAATATCGAATTTTATTTACATTTTCGCCAGACGGAAAAAAAAACGAAATTAATAAACAATGTATGACGAGTGATTTATGATTCATATTGTATCTATATAAAATTCGCCGTGTATTTTTCAGAATATTTTTGCGCATAACTTTCGTGTTGAACGTTTATTACGGCGGTATATACATATATTTCGTACAAAAACTCGAAAGTTGGCGCGGAAGTGTTTATGCGAAAAATTTAAGAGAAGATATACTCGGTGCATCTCTGACCCGCGCGATGCTTTCACTTCTTTCATGGCGAGAGAACGTACCGTTTTATTCGATGTCAAGTAGCGGCTCTCTTTCCATCTCGCTCTAGATATTCGACCTAACTTAAATACGTAACGGAGATTAAAAATAAACAATTTATATATACGCATATATAAATACGTATATACATAAATGTGTCTTGTATAAATATAATTTTTTTTCTAAAAAAATATACATGTAATTTCATGATCCAACTATAGAAAGTCCAGCATATATTAAATTGTAAACATCGCGTACAATTACTCCATATTCCGCATTGTTGTGCCACATGAATTTTATACTTCCCTCTCTCTTTCTCTAGTACAAACTGCCAAGTTAAATATAATTTTTGAATAGACGTTATAAAAGTGACATGCTCGTGCGATTCCGAGCGACTAAATAAGTACACGCGTAGAGTTTAGGAAGGCTTAAAACACGGCAACGGGACGAGGGTGCGGAATTTCAGACACGACGAGCTTATATACGCATATTACGTGCGTGTCCCTCGTTAACGCGTCCAAGTTTTCCGTGTGTGCCGTCACGCGTGTTTCGTCCCGAGGATATGACAGAACAAGAATTGTGTCAGTTAAGAGACTCGTCCAATGACACGGCTTAAATATAAACCAAATATATACGGGCGAGACCGCACGAAACCGACATCTCTCTCTTTCGGGAGAATATAGACGCGTCTATTTATGCTCACACTGTGTGTAATTATTTAGCTGTCAAATGGTGAACAAGATATACGTTCGATCCGGTTCGATCTTATTATTACGTGCATGCATAATATATGATCTCTTTTTTTTCATTCTTAAAATAGTATTCTCTTAATCGATAATAAATTACGATAATAAATTCTTTTGAAATATCCTTTCTCTTTCTTCGATATGATCGCATATTATTCAAATTAAAAAAAAATTAGAAAAGCAAACAGTAATAAATTGTTTTAAAAAGTTCGGATAACGTGACAGGAATTGCAGATTTTTTAAATTGAAATTATAGTTTATACATCGTCTAATGACTTTAAGCCGTATGAGCACGCTAATTAGTAAAGCTAAAAATAGTATATTCACCGGCTTTTTTTTTCTACGTGCCTTTTCACCTTATTTTCGCGCGTCTTGTAATCTTTGTTTATGACTTATTCAAATCAAATCTAGAACTAATCTACCGAAGGAAAGTTTGAAGCAGCGGCGTACGAAATCAAGAATAATTCAATTGTATGTAAAATAGTTGATATTTGTGTATAATTATTATTTTTATTTTTCTATGAGAATTTTTGTGTACACAATGACGCTTCATCGCTTTGGTGATGCAACTCTTATATGATTCACCTAAATATACGTGTTAAAGGCGTTGCAAAAGCGGAGGTATCGATGAGTAAGCGAACGACGAAGCGATAAACGTGACGGATCTACTTTCTTTTTAGAAAGTTTTAGCGATATTATCGGAAGCAAAATAATTATTTGCGAGCGGCGTATCGTAACGTCAGATGCCATTTAACATCCTCGCATTAACATTTAACGATGATTTCTAATAATAACGTAAACGTTAATGGCGATGTAAAAGTTTCAATCACGAAATCGTAATAACATTATTAGAAGCAACAACGTAATTGCTTATTTATGCACTCTTTTTTTTTGCTTTCTGTAATAATGCATTGTTGTTGATATATAGGGAAAATGTAATTTCAGATGCACCAGAGGACGTCACTTCTCGCGACACCAGGAGACGTTAAAAGTGCCCATGTCGCTTTTTCGCGATAATCGCCAGCGACTCATCTCACGTCTCCGTGCAAAGAATGAAGTTTCTGCCGCGGGCGCTTTCGTCCTTCTTCAGGGTGGCGTGGACGTTCCCTTCAACGACACCGACGTAAACTGGCCCTTCAGACAGGTGCGTATTTGCGTGCTGTTATGCCCTTTAGTATTTGCCATATCGATGAATCTATATGCTCGAGCTGCATAATTAAATAAAAAGATAGCTTGTGCAAGATCCAAGATATTTCAGAGACAGAAAAAGTTTTAGAATGCGAATTTTAAATGCAAACCTAGATAGTTTACAAGATTTCTTGTTATTAAAAGATCGCCAAAAAATTATTTATCAAATTAAAGGATTTTATACCATGATTGTCAGATGTGACGATCGAAGGAGCGAGAGAGCGTTTTTATTTTCGTGATCTTTTATAAAAGTACCGTGTAAGAAACAAAATGCGCGATCGTGACCGATGGGAGAAGAGAGAATTCCAAAGATTCAACCGCAATTACGTGGTCTGACTTTTACGACTATTTCTGTCGCACGTCCCTGTCGGAGTAACGACCGTAAAGACAATTGAGTTCGCCGCAAAGTGTTCAATAGCCGTAACCATTAGTGTGTGAGAAAATTCATTAGATTTATTTCAACGAGAGAGATTAAGAGCGAATACAATTGCGAATTCAATTTACCGAACTCAGTTTATTTGTCGTCGTATTCTTGTATCGATATAAGACTGGCACGATGACTGTACAGGACGTTTATGACGTTTCGAGCTGATAACACATTAACTGTGTACAAAGATACATTAACAATTTTATGTTGACCATTACAGAAAGAAATACTCTCATACTTTTTATAATTTACTGAAAGCTTATCATGGGTTGTTGTGAAATAATACGAACGCGATAACATAATAAAAAATATTTTACGACAGTACATTTTATCGCGTTATTAAACACTACGCATTAAACTAATTTGTTTATATTTATAGTAAAAATTTATTAGATTCATTGAAGTAGAATTTTTTTCAAGAAGTTACTCCCGTGTACATAGTCTGACTGATATCAGATAATTTTATCCAATCAGAGATGTGTGCAGACCAAATATTATTATCTGTCTTATCGTGCGATAAGTATTGCAGAATTTTCGCAAAATAAGATTGTATATGCTTCGAAGCATCTATATTACTACGTCTTTTAATTCGATATTTGCTTCTTTCATTATTTTTATTTTTTGAAATTAATTTCTATACAATGATAATGTGTCTTCTCGTGATAATAAATAGATAAAAATTTCATTAGGAAGTTTATAAACTATTATATAAGCATGAACTTTTTAGCCATTCCACTAGGCTATTCTGGTAAATAAAGTTCCGTAACATTTACATTGGCGAAAACACATTCTCGTCAAGGTGCGAGTCGCCGAAAATCGATGGGAAAGAGTGAAGATCCGGTCGAGACACGCTCCTGGCGCGCAGACGGGCAGATCTGGCAGATTGCCTTTAAAACTCGCTTTACTAGAACCAAGAAGGTACCGTTCGGACACAGCACACTCTAGAAAAACTCACGACGACCGTTCCGTTCGTTCGTCTGTGCTCCAGACGCTAGCGCATGTGCGGCTTTGTTTGAGGTCTGATTGGAACTCTCTCGCGAAGGATATTTCGAGGAACCTTGAACGTATCGCGAAATTAATTAAGACTTTTTTAATCTATTTTTACTAAACCGGTTATTTTATTAAAACTTTATTTGCCTATATATTATACATTTAAATATTATGTTTTATTTATCATTTTTAATACGCATTTTATTAATTTTACAAGAGAATATAAGCTGATTAAGCTTATGTGTGTGTTGAAATTTATTCTCTCTTGTTCTCTCTCTCTTTCTCTTCATGTGAAGTGGTGGAACTCGAGCCGATTATGTGCAACGCTTGGCGAGCGATCTTTGTGTGAATACAGGTGGTACAAACCGTTTGCGTTACTCGAAATTTGTTCATTGTAATTGTCTATTGTTGCTCTCGACGATCTGAATGTAACGTTCCACATTTTTTTTGCTCCCGCTAATTAAATATTTTAATTTACAAGCCCCTTAACATGCAGCTCTTAAAATTACATTATTCAGTTGGGTTCAGTTGCAATCGCGTTTCAATTCTCAGCCTAGATCGCATTCAATGTTATCGTGAATTTATAATTATGCACACGATATGAAATCATTCCGCTTCATGAATTCGTACAAGTAAAAATGGAGGAGCAAGTTAAGATTATAAATTCAATAGAGTTTAAATGAAGTCAGATGATATCTTCGTCGTAATTAAAGTTATGGCAGGAAAAGAATGGAATTATATAGTAAATTAAAACAAAATTCTTTCCTAAGAAGAATATTGGATATATAGTGGTTGGTAGATTCTTTCTGTTTACGTTCCTTCACTGCTTGCGTTTTTATGTGCTATAGACTTTCGTGTGAATATTATCTCGAGATGTTCCAGGCCGGTTCAAATTTGTGCTATGCTTGCGTCATTGTTGATCTTCCCAGACGACGTTTAGACCGAACTCGTGTTTCGTTGTTAGAGAGAGGAAAATATTTTTCGTTCTCAGTCATGCATACTTACTTTCGAGTATTATTTTCAATAATATTTCTTGACCGAAATTTAATCTACGGTTAATTTTTTTTCAACTATTCAATGTCGATGATTTTAAACAAATATTTGTTTTAAGTAAATGGCAAAAGTTTTCATAAAAAAATTCCGCAGAAATGAATAGGCAGGAAATTTGTTGTAGAATCCTCGGTTGGGGGAACATCCGGTGCTTCTGGAACATCCTGTATGCGTGCAATCAAGGTGCTGTTCCAGTTTCTAATTTGGCGAATAGCGGATCGTTCGTATCTCTTTGTTGCGTAGCGCGCTCTCGACAGTTTATAAAACGATGTACTCTCATGAATTCAATATCGCGGTGTTATTGTTGCGCGATGCTATACGATCCATACGAGATCCGCTCGTCGTTGAATTCTTTCTCGATGCAGTTGTACATTAATCCGCCGCGCGTTTTCAGGCTTTGTCCGAATTTCTAGTGGAAACCCAATAATAAAAAAAAATTCGTAATTTTGGAGTAAATTGTTAAATTGGTAAAATAGAGCGTAATTATTTAAAAAATATTCATTGTGTGGATATATTATTATGATATTTAAAAATATTCTGTATGCAAAATATAGATCTGCAAATTTTAGAAAAATTATTCGCGTTATGCAAAATATAGCTCTGTATGGAAAATAGCCGCTGTAATATAGATATTATCCTTGTTAGTTTGCACGCGCTTACAAAATACACGCGCCATTGTGCGGATGTATATATCTATATATACATATATATATAGATATACAGTTCCTTTAAGATAATACCTGCTGGTTGCGCCGAGAGCGCGTTGACCTGATGGCCGATCGTTCTCAAGACGTTCTCTCACTTCTCTCTTCGTCTTCTACCTCTGTCTTTCCCAGCATCGGATGGATATGAGAGTCTCCGAGAGCGGTCAGAAGACAGAGAGCAAAGAGAAAAAGACAGAGAGAGAGGAAATGGGGGAGGAAAGAGAGAGAGGAGAGAGACAGGGAGAGTGAGAGAAGGCTCAGCTCTTGAACCCAAACACAACAAAGCGCAACGCATTACGACTCGCTCAGGCTCCTTCGGCTCATTTCTCATCTCTTCATCCTTGGAATTCCGATCTGCCGGATTTTTGGAACTTATGACGACGGCGACAACGGCTGCCTACGCCAATGTTGTTAAAGACGCGATATTGTGGCATCACGTATATATATATATATATATATATATATATATATATATATAGTAGATCCGTTCTCTTCGCAACTGCACCTGCCGCATTTATTTTCTTTCTTTATTCTCATCAACATGCGACCGTACACTCCTTTCGTTTTAAACCTGGATTATTTCGTCTATTTGATTGTCCAATACTGTCTTCTTACAACAAATTCTTTTTCTCAGGCTTACACGATTAAAAGTAGTCTTCCCTCCAAATGGGTAAAAATGATAATTAAAGCAATGTTTCTCTTATTATTTTTTAATTGCTTTTATTTACCAATTAATTGAAAGCAACGTATAACTCAGCCGACCAGCGAACTCTATCTGGTTGAAATAAAACAGAAAATTAGAATGAAATTTGAAGTAAAAACGAGACCAAATACCTTATTAATGATTTCATAACAAGTGTATGTGATTACTATTTTTCAATAATTTTTCTTTTTCTTATTTTTTGTTACAGTTCGTTTCTCTATTTCAAGTCTAGAAGCAAAAAATTCAGCTTCCGCAGAGAGAATTTTCTCTTAGAATTTACCCTGAACATTATGAGAATATCTATTACAATATAAGATATAAAATATATTCGATTAATTTTACTTTACATATTAATATTTTTATTGTAATAAATATTTAATCAGAGAAACTCTTATAAAATTCTTCCAATACCATATTGTTCCACGATTATCATATTTTTTTTCAGGGTAAATTCTAAGAGAAAATTTCCTTTGTATGTAGAGACAATCTGGGAAGATCAATAAATATACGAACATGAAAAAGGGCGATGTGTCTTCGAAATTGCTTTTATACAGTTTGACCTCGACGGTTCAACCTGGTAAAAAGGGCCGAACAGTGGAAACGGCATTTCCGTTTCGCCTTTCTTAAGTAAAGGGGAAGCTTCGGAGCGACCGTACGCGGACACACTCGCGTGATCTTGTTTCCTGTACAAAGTTTTTCGAAGCCGAGGTCCGCAGTCGGGCGTGAGATCGCCGCGGGGAAGCCATTGTAATAATTCTTAAACGCATATTTATATAAAAAGTAAAAGGGTAAAAGGAATTGGCTATTGAGAGCCAAGAGAGAAATTCCGTAGAATACGATTTGTATCCTTTGTTCGTGCGGGAAACCGAAACTTGGCCTCGTAATTGCGAAACGTCGTCTATTAATCGTCGAAAAAAAAATTCCGGTCGAAGGATGACCTGGCGTGTCGACTCGATGACGTGGTTCCGGAATATCATTTCTTCTGAAATACAGTCGACGAGAACGATATTACCGAGGCAGCATCGATTTCTCACGTAATATCTTGCGTGTTGACCTATTTGTTTCGAGGAAACATGTAGACTTCGATTTCGAGAATGAAAGCTTAACATTAAAAACGGAAGCATCGCGTATACAGTGACATCGTAAATATTGATGTAATCAGTTTCACCTCGTCAAACATTAGTTTTCTTTTCACGCGCACGAGCAACCATTGATCTCATAAAATAAGGGATTTTTAATCTTTTTTTTTTATTCTCTTATCTCTTTATTTGCATCTTTCGCAATTTCTATCCAGCGCAAAAGTTTCCATGTAATGGTCGAAAGTATATTGCGTGTACCACTTCTAGATAATTACTTGGAAAGGTACTGGAATCATATGGTTTATCAGCTGTCATTTTCTTATGCGACATTTGTCTCGAAAATCCCTCTATTATTCAAGATTGTACAGCGATATCTCAAGCTTTCCGGGAAATCATCTCATTTCACATTATTTGTCCTCTTTATCAGGAATCGTTTTTCCAATGGTGCTTCGCAGTGGAGGAGCCAGGATGTTACGGCGCTCTCGATCTGGACAACGGCCTCTCGATTCTCTTCGTGCCGAGGTTACCGTCCGAATACGCGATTTGGGAGGGCAAGCTGCATACCCTGGATGAATTGAAGGAGCGATACGGCGTGGATGAAACTTACTACACCGATGAGATTGCACGCGTGCTGAAGGAAAAGCGAGCGCGCCTTTTGCTCACGCTGGTAAGTCGCTTGTAAACAGACGTTCACTGTCTACCTTCTCTTCAGGTGCGGAAATATGCTCAGTCCGAGGATATTCTAACTGTAAGAATGACTATATGATTTTACAATAATTACAATTCTTTTCCTGTTTGTATAGCATAATAAAAACATTCATTTTTGACTATTAGCGATATATGATGCCTCGATAAAATAAAAATAAGTGAAACTATTAGCGAGATATCCTCAGGTTACCTGAGGTGAGCACCTTCTTCTGCATACAGGCATGGATATATGTCTTGCAATAAGCAATTCACTATGGCGTGCCTCGTGACGTTTACCTTTGCCTCCTTCGCGACTGTCTGCCTCTACAATGTGTCGAGAAAGTTGCATCGGTCGAGTGCACTGGTTGCGAGCTGCTTGCATTAAGACGGTTCCAGAGAGACGCTCACCTTCGCCAAACATTCGACGAATGTAAATGCATGTTGCGCGTATGTACGTACGTGCGAACTTGTCCCGTATTGTCATCTGCGATCGGAGGCCTCGTCGAGCCTGCTTCATTTGCACGATGTGACATTTGTCACGACTTGGCGAATGTTTGTCGAGCGAGAGCATCGTCTGACCGTCGCCATTTACTGAATGACTTACCGATCCTGCGCTTCTGTACGGAGCCGCGTTAAATAGGTGTTGCAAAAATTTCACAGATAATAGAAATTCCTTACGTTACTTTATATACGTTATTGTACGTTGTTCTGTTGCTATGCGGATTAGAATTACAGTGGATTTAGCAGAATCTCAAAATGCATTTCTTAGCTTTGCTCTCGCTTTCGTTTGCCAAATATAATCGATGCGCGTAAATATCCCGCATTTATTCTGGTGTTTTATTTTATTATTCCGCGAGAAAGCCACAAAGTTAGAAAAGAATAAAAAAAAATAACGAGTTATTTTCCTCGAATTATCGTATTTTTATTTTTCACATTTTGCTCTATTTTCCGTGTTTCGACATTATCTCGGTCAGTTCAATTTTTCCAATTTTTATTTTCGAAAAATATAAGTAGCGGAGTATACTTCTAGTTGAAGAACTACGTTGTTTCATAAAAGAAAAATACGATATATCGCGAACTAGAATAATTTTAGCCGTCACTTGATAATACGCGTTAAGCGATAACGTATGAGAAAATAGAATGTTTGTTCCATCTGCGACTTTCTGTACAACCTGATGGCAAAATCGAGCGATTCGCGGCGATTTACATAGCTCGCTGCTTCGTTCTGACACACATGTCGCGTTCATAACTCGCCCAGCGTTGGGAAATAGCCGATGAATTTTTCAACCTGTCGTTATCTAACGTACAATAATTTGTCCCTAGCGTCAATATATCACTGGCAATGTAACTGGGTGACCGGTACTATATAATCGAACGATCCCAACGACCCACACTATAATATGTACGTTACGTGGAATGCTTATCTGATAGTCACCGCGAATTTCGAAAAATTTCGCGTATAAAGTTTGAAAGATATATCGTCGACTTCCCATATCAATTATATTCGTTGATATAAAAAGTACTCCATTTTTAGTAAATAAATATTTAGTAAATAAATATTTGCTTGGAGCAAAATATAAATCTTTGACAAACGCCGACGAGAAATTAGTCATTTTAAAAGTATTCTTTCCAGAGTTATTTTAAGTAATTTTTTAAGATCATTGCACATTATCATATCTTTAATGAACACATTTTTACATCTAATTCAACCATTAATGCTTTTTTATTCTTTTTCTTTCATGTCTTTAGAAAATATTGTGCACGTCTTGCAACAGAAATAGAGAAAATATTTTACATAGAGATGTTCTGTACGGATATTAGAATGTTTGAATAGTAGGGCATTCAGATACTATAGAACATTCGGACAATAGAAGTTTAAATAACTGTATTCGAATCAGTTGTATTCAAGTAGCTCTTGACATGATTTTATCTAGGTATATAGATACATATATTCTTAAGTAGATATGTATATATGTATATATTATATACATATAGTTTCACTCTTTTTAAAATATTTTTACAATTATTTTACAAATTGTGTATATGTAAATTTTCTCTCTCTCTCTCTTTCTTTTTTCTCTCTGTCTCTTTTTTCTGATAACATTGTGATAACATTGCAAAGTTTATCAACAGCTACATGAGTTATCGTTATCAATGAGAAACGTTAATTATCTCGAATATTATATATATGTATATAAAGTCCAGGGATTCATATGACCTATATATCAAACATGTTATAGCGAGTATTGCGTTTTCCTTTGTTTATGTTTGACACTTGTGCGACATTTTGCGTCGCGATTAAAATATTCGGCAAATTTGCGGAACTAATTTTGCTAATATACCACTCGCGCGAGAGCACGCAATTTAGAGCAATTTGGAGCAATTTACAGTGTTTCGAGCAGTACATTGAACGATTCCGGAGACGCTTGCATGATTTACGTGAAACCAGGAAATTCACGAAGGTTCGTGGCAGAGCGGAGATGTTTTCTAAGAACTGTACGCGATTATTGGTCGACTTGCATTATTCGTTGAATTGCATGTTGTGTATAGTACACGTCATTGTCCCGTCAAATTGGCAGAAAACATAGTCACTGTTTTTGTCTAGCGACGTCGAATCGATCGAAAACACAAACTCGCGAATGTCATTAATGCAAGTACTTAGACCGCTTGTGATATCGAAAATCGATTTGATTCTTTATTATTAGTTTGCAATACGCTTTTATACATTTTTCGCATGTTTATGAAAGAAAAACACGAACGATGGAAATTATTTATTACATCAGAATAGGCAGCGTTGATGACGCGATGGGAGGAAAATATTCGACATCGGGAGATTTTATTTTGCGCGAAACTGAATTCTCGAATTCAAGAGGCGAGGTTTGTTATTTCTATTATTTGCCAGGACCACACAATCTTCAGGTTGCGTTTTAGCGTTTGTATGTTAATACAAAGAAGCCGAGTAGCTCTAACAGTGCCACACACAGGCAGCCTTGAATCTTCTCTCTATTTTCAGTGACCGTTCAATAAATCGAATCGCCACGAAACACAGCGGAAATCAATATTTAATGGTTTCGCAGAAAGTGTTATTTTGCTGAAAGGCGCGGAGACGAGCGGCATGAATAAGAGATGGAACAATGCTCGGTATTTGCCGTAAGCAATTGTTTCGTTCTACGTATATAGATTGATGAAATGCGTAAGGAAGCGTTCAATCAATTCGCAAAATTCGAGATTAGCATTACAAAATTCTTGTTTTTAAGAAGTCGTTTTTTAAGAAATCCTCGCATATCTTTGTATTCATATTTATATAAATATTCAAATAATTGCTAGTTTATAGAATTTTATATTTTTCTCGTCACTCTGAAATTTTACAGAGTATTTTGCAAAAACGTATACATCTCGTAATTTTTGTAAACTATCCTGACGTCAATTTAGAAATCGATTTATCGACATAATTGTCCATAATGTTGTCAAGAACTAGAAAGGAGTCAGTTCGTTTCTAAAATATAATCCTTACGCAATTTATGCGTCTCGCCTATATAATTGAGATTTTTTTGTTATATTTATTGCAGCGAACCGACTTGGCGTTTAATCTTCGGTTTGGTTTATTTTTAAAGATTAGCGTAACGCTTATACAATGTAAGATATGCGAAATCAAATGTTTCTAGTTACGGCACGATTCAGATATCTCGCGAATAATGTTTCCGCTCTAAATTACGTGTGCGCGATTGATATATATTTTATTTTGTATATGACGAGATGAGAGAGTCACGACTAATTAGCAATACGGAAAATATTAAATTATTATAATTAATATGAAATTACCTCTCTTGCGCGTTTAATCATTAATTATACCGCAGAGTGTATTGTTTGCAAACAATGCTTTCCAAGCCGATTACTATTCGACAATACGATATTCATGCGTGACAAAGCTAATTTAATGGCTGATAAACACCAATGGAAACAAAATGATTCATACCGCTGCGGGAATACATTACTAACATGTTTGTATTGCATATACATATATATCTATATATGCATATATATATATATATATATATATATATATATATCGTCACACGTGGACACGACAGAATACTAAACTTTATTAGATTCTTTCAGCTGTTAAATTCTCTTGATGATTTATATTTATAGAAAAATCAATCGTCCACATTTGTCGTGCGAGTATTTGACGTTAAAATTAAAGTCGATATTTCTGACGCGCGTAGAGATATTTTTCTCGCGTATATAAAAATGTATGAAAAATTTATTTATCGACATGCTATTTATTTATTTTTTTTTCGTTTATCTCTCGTTTACGGCCTTGTCGTACACGCATGTAACTGTGTGTACATCGGTCGATATCGGTTAGAAATTTATGATTGCCGATAGACCGAGGGGTAGACGTCGTATCTCTCTCTGCATGGCAAATGAGACAAGTTTGGGAGAACTATAGGGTCACAGGACGTTACATCATGACACCGGTCGCAAGATTAATGCCGAGGTTCAAGCTTGGTAGAAATAGGTACGGATATATAATCGACGGCATAATGCAACCTTTCATGCTTTCATGCAACCGTGTTGTCGTACATACACACGTATGGTCGCCACATAAAAATATCTCACCTATAAAGAAAGACACACACAAACGCGCGTATGACAGAATAAACTATTTAATTATAGAGGAAGATGATAAAGGTTCTGCTCGAATCTGACCTTTAAAAGATGAATTATGTAATAAATATCACACTCACGGAATATTATTGATATTAATATTGATTTTTAGGACATTTATAGCCGAAGCTATTTCAAGCGAGGATAATTAAATTTCTTGCGCGAAAAACGTGCGTAATATATATTGAAAAATATTTTTCCTTTCTTTAATTCCCGCGATGTAGTTATGAATCATTCAGCGCGATACCATGAACTGGATATACTTGTGTATATACGTCTAATAAATGTGTTTAGTCTTTTATTGGTTAAAGAATAGAGTTTGTCGTCTATATATCGGTCTTATATACCAGTTCGTACACGCACACGTCGTCAATATTGATAAACACTTGTCTTTTATAGACAACGCTGTATAGCAGTCCACGCGACTATAATTATGATTACACATTATGCAAACACGTATATTGCTACCGCATATTTTTCTGCGACACGTTTGCACGATCTTTTGCAATATTCGATACAACAACAAATGCTGATACAGCGCATTCATTACAGGTACTTGCTATTTAGCCAACAAACATTTTTATCTATTACTCAGCGAAAAAATGATATAATATATGTGTGTGTTCTCTAATATCGCGAATACACGCAAAAACTGCGCACCAGTTGACGTTAATAAAAGTTTCAACCGGTGTGAAAATAAAATTTACAATTGTTTATGCAAGGAATCATTCTATACAAAGTACACATATACATTGTGTATATATCGAAAATTGAGTACAACCACGTAAAAAAAATAAGCTAATATTATAGCGTAAAAACGTAAAAATACGTAAAAGTAATTATTATATAAAAACAGGAAAATGTTTCGAGTTATTATTATAAGAGGAAACTAATTTGAAATATAGATATTAATTGTTACGCGCTCTCTTGTTGTGCACAATTGAACGTGCCAATTAATCAGTTAATTAATGCATGACGCATTAAGGATTTAGATTGAGGATATATCATCCATTGATATACGTAACGTGCGTTATCACGCACGTATCCTGTGCGGTGGCAGAAATCGATGGCACGTTTGTTTCTCTTGCGACCGAATGAAAAGAATTGCTTTCTCCATTCTGACTTGAATTATATAAGGCTTATTTTTACTTTTGATTATACACATATCGGGTAAATGTATATACGCGTCCGACTACGATTCTACAATTGTTATGCAAAACATTGTTTATCTTTACAGAGCGGCAGAAACAGCGATAGCGGCTTATTGACACGCGAAACGATTTTCGACGGTATCGACGAGTGAGTATGACGTAAAATACATTAATAGGAATACGGCACGATTGGCGAAGACGAATTAATTTTGTCTTTTGTTGCAGATTCAAGGTGAATAATAGTATCCTGTATCCAGAAATATGTGAATGGTGAGTATGTGTACGTACAACGTTTATCTTTATGCAGATATATTTTTATATATATATATTGTTTTTTTAATAATAAATTTTAATTTTTAATAATAATTTTAACATGCGTGCGAGAGAGAAGAATGAAAGATAGATGAGTCTTGCAAATAGATATTAAATAAAATATAATGCGTTTAAGATAATAAATTAAAAATGCGCATTTTGATATATTAATAGTGTTAAGAAAATAAAACTATTTTTTAGTTTAATTTTTTATTGTTTATCGCGCGTCAACTGCCTGAAGGAATTAGTGTCGCCATCGGCTGGTCGTTTCATGTAATTATATGTTACATCGGTACACCTCTGACAATTTTTCATTGGGTTATAATATAAATTATATACTTTCTTGATTCATGTCATAAATATTTAAAAGTAAAATTATCCCTCTTGCAACATTCGTAATGTTGTAATTTTCCTGAATACGAGATATAAAAATCTTCTTGAAAGGAATTATTGAATATTAAATTATGCGATGTTTATAATATGATTTTGAAGGTAAAGAAAGGAAAATTTATTTTAAAACATATAATATTTTAATTCTCCTCTATTTATAATTACTATTGTAGATGATAATCTTAAATTATATATACCGGGGAAAATTTTCTACGAAAGTATTTGTACAACCGTGTAGTCTGATTTCGAAATTTAAAAAGAGATGGTTCACACACGATTATTGTGGAACACAGTTGACTCGGACGAACATTTTTATGCAAGAAGGTAAACACATACAAGAGGTTCCTTTAATAGTCAGAAAGATTACCAACATCGAAGCTCTTTTCGGCAATGAAAGCAAAGAAGATACATCGATATCAGATAAAAATAAAAAGTCTACGATAATTTATAAGGAAGATATTCCTCGTTTCATCAACACAAACGTGATGAAGACCGAGTCTTTGAAGCATAGTATTAGTATAGAGACAAATGAGGGTACGGCAATACTTTTCTATCCCAATATTGAGCGCCTTAGAAATACAGATGTAGAACAGGTTTTAGATACGATCAGATCGGGGAGCACCAATAAAGAAATGTATCCTTTAAAGAAGGACAAGACAGCCGATGAGATGAGCTGTCGAATAGCATTTCAAAACTTAAAAAAAATTATAGATTTAGAAAATGGATGGTATCGATATCGAAAAACCCTGACAAGTGGTCAATCGTCCGCGGAAATCGTCAATAGAAATATTATTCTGCGACAACTTGTACATCTGATTGTCAAAAGCCGAGACAGCGAGATGATACTGCAAGGACTGAGAGCGCTGAAGAGAGACAGATTTAGTCCTTCGATGAACGTTTACAAGGACTTGATGTGCAACGAAGTTATGATTAGAGCTACGGACGGCAAGTTTAGCGTGTCGCAATTAATCAGAGCGGTGAAAATCTTGGCTTCTTTAAGAGATTCCAAATACAGAAACTGCGTCGACATGTTGTGGATAGGTTTGGCGTGCCGGGAGCAGGATATTAAATCGGATCTGCTGGTGCCGTTATTCAGATTTTTAAAATATTTCCAACAAAGTAAAGACATGGTACAGATTATTTTGGAGAAGAAACTTTCGGAGCAGTGGTTGAAGCTGTCCGGCACGCAGATGGCTAATATATTAGATTGCTTTCACGGGAAAGAATGTCCAAAGGGATGCCTGTCAAGTGCTAGTAAGTGGGCAGGTGTTAGCATGACTACTTCCACGGAGAAGGATCTCGTTAATTTTATTAGCGGTTTACGTGCGAAGAAATATATTGATGAAAATATCGAACAGGCGATGGCGAGATATATAACGACTAGAAGCACTGAGACAAAAGATTCTAATTTAATCGCTTCCATTATGGATTATTGCAAAGATTTAAGAGTCAGGAATCCGTATATTCTTGCTGAATGTGGAAAATATTTCATTAGACACGGGATGGAAATTTCGCCTACTTTGTTGTCTTCCATTCTTACACCGTTTGGATTATTGAATGTACAACCACCGGATCCTACCGAGTTTTGGAAAATATTCAATAAAGTAATATCCGCGAGATTCGCAGATTTAAAACTGAACGATGCTTTAGACATTCTTCTCTCTTGCATGTATCTCGAAAAATATCCCATCAAATATTTGGATAGAATTTTTAGTTCGTATTTGGTAAACAGACTAGAAATTCAAAGAGAATTCGCGCCTAGTATTAATTGCTTGAAAACTAAATTAAAGTTGTTTGATGCGAGTATGTCGTTAGAATGTAAAGATTATCAGGGCGATCCGATTAATTTAGACAGAAGCGCGAAATCCTTAAATTTGGACATGAGAATCAGGGGTATTGTTAATAAAATATACAAACCGCTGGCGCATTTAGTAGGTGACGAACAAAAGTTGAGCAGGAACGTAATTTTAAACAAGTTGCCTCTCATAAATTTTTACATTTTAGATATTTTAGTACATCCATTCTTAAAATCAACCTCAGTTTTCAACTTAAATTTGCACAAAAAAAGAAACGCCAATACTGCAATTCTGATTCAATTGCCCGAGTACTATTGTTGGAATACGCGATTTTTAATAGGACCGCAGATAATGAGAAAACGGCAAATTCGAAAATTGGGTTTTCGGGTTACATGCTTGGATTATGCAAAACTAGCAAAACTCGTAGATCACGACGATAAATTGTTATCTTATTTGTCGCAAAGCTTAGACGGTGCCGAAGATGCTTTATAACTTCGTATTTCGCGTTTGACACGTAAATTAATATAAATTTGCGGATGAAATTGTAATAACATTTTTTTTGGTTTAATAATTAAATCGATTATTATATATTATATATAAATGAAATAGATAGAATTATAAATAAATAAGAAATAATAAAAGAAACATTGTACTTTAAACTGAATAAATGTCTTGTATAAAGAAATCTGTTCTTGTGATATATTGTAGTCTTATATGAGTTTTCTTTTTGTTTCATATAGCCGGGTAATAAAATCTCCCGAAGAAATTGAGGTATTGCGGTACGTGTGTAAGATAAGTTCGGAGGCACACAAGACCATTATGCGCTCTATGCGTCCCGGGATTCCAGAGTACACGGCAGAATCTTGGTTCTTGAATTACGTATACAGCACGGGAGGATGCAGGCATGTTTCTTACACGTGCATCTGCGGATCCGGACATAATTCCTCTATATTACACTATGGTCACGCCGGCGCGCCGAATAATAAAGTAATACAGGATGGAGATATGTGGTGAGATTTCCGTTGGAAATAATTTCGTTCTCCTCATATTCATATGTATATATATATTTATTTATTTATGTTACGATTCGTGTATCGTTGCATGTTTGTTGTTGCATAATAAATTTTCTTTACATCGCGCAGCTTGTTCGACATGGGTGGCAATTATTGCGGATACGCAGCCGATATTACGTGCAGCTTTCCGGCCAACGGGAAATTTACCAAGGATCAGAAGCTGATTTACAACGCGGTGTTGAAGGCGCGGAATGCGGTGATCGCGGCCGCGAAGCCGGGGGTTGCCTGGACGGATATGCATCTCTTGGCGAACAGAGTCATGTTGACGTCGTTGAAAGAGGGCGGACTCTTGGTGGGCGATGTCGAGGATATGATGAAAGCGGGTCTGAACGAACTGTTTCAGCCTCACGGACTGGGCCATCTATTGGGATTGGATGTGCACGACGTAGGCGGATATCTGTCGGGGCATCCTGAACGTTCAAATCAAGCGGGGCTGAGGAAACTGCGAACCGCTCGTACATTGCTCGCCGGAATGGTCCTCACGGTAGAACCGGGCTGCTACTTTATAGACTGCGTGAGTGTAGAGATAATTAGCACGTAAAATAAGGATTGGTTAAGATTAATATTTCGGGCAGTTGAGTAAAATAATTTTTATTGCAGTTGCTGGATGCAGCTTTGGCCAATCCAGAGCAGTCAAAGTTTCTCGTGCGAGAACAGTTGCAAAGGTTCCGCGGTTTTGGTGGCGTCAGGATAGAAGATGATGTTCTTATAACAGAGAATGGAGTGGAAAATATGACGGATGTTCCTCGCACGTAAGTATTTATTCTGTACAAATTATTTTCTATGAATATCGTTTAGAGAGAATTAATATTTATGTGCATATTTTTCAGAGTCGAAGAAATAGAGGAATATATGCGGGAAGAGAATTGATTCGTAGAATTAAGAGATTTCAAACATATAATAGTGTTTTCAAAAAATTGAACACTTTGTATGCTTGTTATTAACGTCGGTCAAATAACTGTAAGTGAAGATAATCGTGATAAAAAAAGTCTACTAATAAGAACTTCCTATGAAGGTATAAAGCCATATATATTTTCCTATAAAGCCATATATATTTGTATCTACTATACTTTTTATACATAAATGTAACATTTATACATAATAAAGCGCAAGGGTTTCTAAAACTCCGTAACGTTACATTATCATCGCGACGTTTATGATGACGTACGTCAAATATATATGTTTATCGGTTATCACATAACAAGATTTTTCAAGCCTACATTCGCGCTGTAGCAATAATTTCACACTGACTTAGATTAGAGCAGGCGTAAAAGTCATTCATTCTTCGCCGACGACATTTATTTTGGGACAGCCTTGGCGACTTCTGACAGCGGAATTGAAAATAGTGTCTCAATCTCACAGACGCGCGTGTCAACAGAAATTGGGACTTAATTAGGAGCACATATACTTTTATCGCATGACGTAGAAGTTAACGCGGGTCGACTATAGTCCATCTCGGATGAAATCTAAGTGCTATATTATCATGCGCGTACACTCGTCTATTATCGGCGCCTAACTAACAGTTGCGTGACCGACGTGTATGAGAAACGTCAACCGGCGCTCGCGCGTTGCAACATGCGTCTTGAATTTCACAAGAATAGTAATATTAATATCATCAGGCGGTCGAAACGTCAACGAACCGAGGTCTGCGGAAAAATTCGCGAGATTTTTTACACGGACTTCGTCTCGTCTTTGGTGACGCGAGAGATAGACTTCGCCTCTCTCGCAGGCGAGTGATAACGAAGGAAGCGTTGACGTCAAGCGGCACTTATCACCGACGAGATTTGGTGAAAATGCTGTAGAGAAAGCCAGTTGAGAGAGAGAGAGAGAGAAAGCGGGACGCGACAAAGAGTTGCGACCGCTGTTTCTTTCTTTTCTTTTTCGCGACCGCTCGTGTAAAAATAAGACGTAGCTGAGGAGCGGACATTGTACCACAATTAGATCGCGCGGATCTGAAAATATATATTATTAGCTAATCTTTTATACGAGAAGAGCGGGCGTCCGTACAATTCGAATCTCTGCTCAACTAGAAATTCTTCTAACTTTATATATGTATGTAAATGCCTCAGTCTAATTACTCGAGCTTGCGTAGAAATCCACTTGGGACTCGAATCTCGAGGAAAATTCGGACTCGACTGTCCTCCCGCGATCGCTACCGGGTTGCATTTGTACTGCCAAGTGGCTCACGATTTATAAATACGTATCGCGAGAGGGTATGATGCGCCGGCAGGTATATTCTCGTCGTGATAGCGGGGATGAGGAGGGAAAACGAGAAAGAGACAGAGAGAGGAGCTGGTTAACTCATTACAATGTCGCAGTGTCAACAACGCAGGCTTCCAGCTGCGCAGACGCGTTCACCAGCTCGCAAATGTCAAATTTTTCTCTTTTTCTTCTTTTTTTTTTTTTTAATTTAAGTGTCTTTTTGCTCTCCGTAAAGTCTGTCCCTCTTTGAAGATTCTCTTGAAAAGCTTGACGTTACGGACGAATAATGCATCCCGCGATTCTAAAGACTTTCTGAATAAATCAGGAAGAGAATCGGGAGCTTTTATTCAAACAAATCGAAAGGCTTTCGGAAATTTAAATTCGAATCGATGAAGATTTATTGGCGAGACTTTGCGGAATATCGCGATTACTATCGGAAACAGATTTTCGAAAGCCCGAAGGAGCTGAAGACTTTCTTTCCAACATCGCTCAATACATCTAACGTTCTTTTTCTCGAGTCAGAGTCTTCGGAGCAAAATATTCCTCAGCAGACACTAAAAAGAGACACCTGAAAAAAATCATAAAAGAACGCATATCCTATATAGACGTCTTTGTGACGTCTTTCAAGCGTCTTATCGCGCGGGGTTTGATCAGCTTGAACTCGTATTACTTAAATTAGCGTAAGCACATCAGTATCTAGACTCGACGATCCTCGTGAATCAACTCGTGGCTAGGCGGCACGTTTAGCTAGCAGGAGAGAGAAAGAGAGCGGTGTCAGGTGAAGGGACAAAGGGACGAGGATAGAAAAGAGGAGGCAGACAGGCGTGAAAGTCCGCAGCTTCCCCAACACGCATGCCTGACGCCTGCTGACGCCGTCGCGATCGTCGCGGATTTCGTCGTCTTCGGCGTCGCGCCTTCGTATCGACGAGTCAAGCGTATCAAGCACTGGTGATCGTCTCTGTCGGGGGACCTCGGAGGACCTCGTCGAAAAGGATGCGCAAGAGAGGAAACGACGAAGGGCGAAGCGAGGCATCAGCCCCGGCGAAACCGGAAGCGTGATCGAGGCGTGTCGAGCTCGGTGTCATTCGCAGGGCGAGAGATCTGTGTCATCCGCGGGTTCACCACGTGTCTCCCTCCTCCCTCCCTCCTCGCTCCCCCGGCAGCCGTCAAGCTGTCATCGCGAGCGTCGGTGACGTACGTTCGCGACCACCTGCAGGCATCGACCTCGATGCTGCCCGCGAATAATTAAATCGCCGCGAAGGAGGGAGGATTGTCGGCGGGGAAGAAAACGTCATTCTCGAGGGGAGTCGGGTAGCAACCGCGAGTCGACGTCGAGGAGAGAGAGAGAGAGAGAGCCTCGATGATGCCTCGTGGTGAAGAAGCAGCGCAGTCGGTCGTCGCGTTTCGCGAGGAGAAGCGACGCTGATCGCGGCCGCTTCGATTCCAGCGAAGTAGAGCAAGACGTAGCGGTCGGCCACGATGCTGCCGATGTCGTGGAGTATTTGAAGAGTCGCGCGGCTATTTACGGCCGAGAAAGTGCGCGCGGGAAGATAGAGATAGAGAGACAGAGACGTCAGACTCGGCGTCGTTGTTCTTCTTCCGTCATCTCGCGATAACGAAGCGGAAGAGAAAAAATACGAGTGTTAGAGCCCGCGTTTCCGCGAGATTTATTTCGGTAATTTCGGAACTGCGCGAGAACAAGAGAGAGAGAGAGGGAAAGAGGAATTGGAAGAGGGGATAGACTCGCGAGAAAAAGAGCGGCCGCGGGATAGAGCGGAGAGTAAAGCCCGCCGCGTTTGCTGTCAGTGATCCACTTCGCGAGGAAACGACCGCGTCGAAGCCGCTCCGAAAGTCGCCGGGGCTGTCGCAATTCGTACAAGGACGCGCGCAGCTAGACTTCCGGACGTAGGTGCGCGTGTCGAAACGTTGTTTATATGTGCGCGTGTGCGTCTTAATGGGACGCAGTAAAAGTATCGCGTTCCGATTTCGAGGGCGCGACTCTCCGTAAGAGAGCTTCACTTGTAACACTTTGGAGTACGAGCGAATCGGATCGTCGATTGTGACGTTATTTTCTTTTTTTTTATTATTCTCGACGCAGGGTTTACGTTGTTAGAGATTCCCGATGCGCAGCGGAGACCTGCTTGCAAAATCTTGATTAAGCGATTAATTATTTATGTGATTGGGACGACATTTAAAACTTTCCACTTTTAAATATTTTCAGTCTCTTCGAACTCGCCTGTGATATATGTATATCATTCGCGAAATGTGGAAATGTATGCATCGGAAGATCGCAAGATAGAGAAAGAAGTTCGGGATAATTTGAATTTAATGAGGGATTCAAATACAAGGTATCAAAATAAAGGAGAAGTACGAAGAAGGAAAAAATTAAACCACCACAATTCACGAAATTGTTGAAGCAGATTTCCGATACAGAGGTGGCAGGAAAATTGATCAAGATAAAAGTGAGATTTCACAGAACGCGGAGCAGAATCTCTCGCCAATTTGCTCTACAATACGCATAGCGGAATAATCTGCGCGGCGCAGCTGTGAAGACGAAAAAAATTGGCGGCGATAAGCGTTATTGGTACTATCTAATCGCGGAATCGCTCGCTCGTGTACACAGACGCGATCCATTTTAATCGGCGCTAGCGAACGTTACGAATTTAGCTCGCTCAGTAATCTGTTGATCGATGCGGCATCCTTGCGTGCACGAGGAGGCAAGAAATAAAGATTGGATCCACCATCGGTTTTTCTCCTCCAGGAGCGAACAGCTGAGACACATAACGTTCCCGTATTAGCCCGAAGGACAGCGTTTGCTAATCGTCATTGCTTCCGCCAACCGGAAACAGATCGACGATTGTGCCGATGTCGTCACTTGATAATCAAACTCGCGTTATGAACCAAGTCCTACTCGACTGTACAATCAACGACAACAAACAGACGGAAGGAAGAAGAACGAAGCAATCCGAATGAGCAAAAATCTCGTATCCCTTTAACGACTTCCACTTCCTCCAGAGAACTCTTTGGGTCCTCCAGGTTTGACGGGTGCACCTAGAGACGTGACGATAAGGAAGAAACACGGAAGTGATCAACGAGAGGGAAAATCTCGTATTCCCTTAAGGATCTTCACTTCCTCCAGAGATTCCTCAAGTGCTCCAGGATTGACGGGAGTACCTAGGGACGCGGCGATAAGGAACAACACGAAGAGCCAAGCCACGGGCGTGCGATAATCCCGCGCGAACTCGCCGACTAGTCATCGATCGACCAGCAGACGCTGCGCGCCGCGACGCCCTCTCCTCTTGCTCTCTCTGTTGGTCGTCCCCACCTGTCTTGTTGTCCCCGGTGGTGTCAGACATTTACGTATCACGTCGGAAACACGCCTGGCGCTCTCTCTCTCTCTCTCTCTCTCTCTCTCTCTCTCCTTGTCCCTTTCTTACTCACTCCCCTCTCTCTTTCTCTCTGTTCTTCTCTCTCTCTCTTCCTCTGTCTTTCTCTTTTCGGATCATCCGCCTCCTCCGTGGATTCTATTTCTTCGATGTGCAAGTAGTGTTCGTACGTCGTAGTCCGCGGGTAGTCCTGTTGCCAAACAAGAAGGTTTCAGCATCTGAGGTGGCACGTCGACTCCGAGAGCCTATTAGACCCGCCGAGACACGAGGTGCTGTCAAGTATCGGGTCGTTAGGAACGAGGGTCGCGAAGATGTGTCGCGGCGCGTTTCAACGTGCGCGTAAAAAAAAGTGAGGTTTCTTCAAGATCCTGCGAGAAGGATACGATCGGTTCGATGACTGGCTACGCGAATTGCGATCGATCCACCCTCTTCTCCCCGCGATGGTGATCGCTGGTGGTGGCTCCGAAACGTTCGAGTGATCCCCCTCCTTCGTGTACACTCGGCGAACAATCGCGGCGGACGATACTCCCTGCGAGGGTGAAGAAGGAAGAAGAACAGTCGAGGGACTGAATTTCCGTCGTGATACGTCGGGATTAGCCCGATAGATACCGGAGAAATTGCGACGCGACCCGGGGAACAAAGAGAGTCCCTCTCTCTCTCTCTCTTTCTCTCTGTCCTCGACTGACGCGGGGGATTATCGGTCTACGAGGGCGTCGGAGAGGAGCGGGAAAGTTCAGGCAGAAAAACAAGTAACGCGTAAATCCTTCTATATCCAGTCGCGTCGGCGATACGACTATAACAAAAAAAAAAAGAAAGAAAAAGAGACAACTCTTTTCGCTACCACTCTTTAATCCCAGCTGAAAACTAAAGGAAATTCCTGTGTATATAGGACGAAAGCCTTATCGCGGAAAGAACTGAACGCACAATGTTTTGCTTCCAAAGTCCCTTCACGCGATCGTCGCGCAGTGTCGTGTCCACGGCTTCCCTGTCGTCGAGCAAGAGCAAGTCTTCCCTGACGAGCGCGATCCTGCCACCCAGCGAGAAGACGTCGCCCAACGCGTCCGAGTGCAATCGACGCGGTTCCGAGGCTACCAGCGAAAGCTCCAACTCCTCCATCAGGTACATCGATCAGGCCTCGATGTCCGGCGGCAGCAGCACGGACACTCTGCCGGGTATCCGCGCCGATTATCTGGATCCCGAACCCCTGTCACCTGGCGCGGACGCTCTGACGTCACCCAGTGGAATTACAGTCGTTTTGAACGGGACCCCCAACGACAGACAGATCGTCCTCCAAGATGAGAGTCATCAGACCGCCGGTAGAGTCCTCGCGCCGTCACCGACCAAGAAGTCCGGCGTGAACGGCAACAGCTGGCATCGCAAACTCATCCTACGGTTCCGCTCCAGTGACTCATCCAGCTTGAACAACGGCGAGACGCGATCTTCTTCGACGTCACCGTCGCCCGCGAGCGAGTCGACGTTGGAGTCGGCGTCGTCATTCTGCTCGAGAAATCCTCGCGGTGACGAGAACATAGGCGAAGCCACCGTTTCCTCGCCGTCGGTGCAGATCGACATGACCGGGAGTCCCCAGGAAGCCTTGGAGAACGGTTTCAGCGAGCCCGGAGAGGACGACGAGGAGGAGGAGGACGAGGACGAGGAGGTCTGTAACCCGGAGACCGAGACCGAGGAAGGCTCGTCCTTGCCGTCCAGTCCAGCAGCCGCGTCCACCGTCGGTCTCGCCACCTCTGCCGTACCCTATTACGACTTCCTGTCGGTGAACGGAGGCGCGATGCGCCAGGAGACCACCAGCACCAGCTCGCCGCAGTTGTCCTCGGGGACGAGTCTGCGATCCAGCGTCGAATCCCCGCCTGCGGATACCTGCAGCTCTTACGGCGAGGACAGCAGTCCGGGGATGGACTCGCTGAAACCGGAGGGCCTGGACACGTCCGCGGGTTGTCTACCCGCCGCGAGGTCCTGTCCGAATCTGGAGCGGCAGAGCGCGGGTTGTTCGTCGGCCAGCGGTTCCTCGAGCGCGAGTCCCAGTCCGGGTCCGGCCGGACCCAGATTCAAGCCGCTCGAGGAGGGCGACATCCAGGTCTGCTACCTGAATCACACCCGGACCCTGGTGAGGAAGATCCTGTCTAGCAAGTTCCTGCGACGTTGGGAGACGCATCATCTGTACCTCAACGACGCCTGCCTGTCCTCCAAAACGGTGAGTCTGCTAATTGTATTGGATTTTTGTATAAGATGAAAGTGTCGCTTTGTCGAGTTTGAAATAATGAGTCTTTAAGTGTAGGGATTTTGAAAATTCAAAGTTTCATTTTTTGCCGCGAAAAATATCGATTCTATAAGTTGAAGGGATCTTGGATAGAGGATATTTATATTGTAGGCAAAATTGGAGAACGATGAAAAAAATGATAAATGTATCTCGATCTGGTACCTAGGAAACAATACTAAAAATATCGATTCTATAAGTTGAAGGGATCTTGTATAGCGGATATTTATATTGTAGGCAAAATTGGAGAATGATGAAAAAAATGATAAATATATCTCGATCTGGTATATTTTTATTTCGCAGATTATAATTTTAATACAGGAAACAATACGAAAAATATCGATTCTATAAGTTGAAGGGATCTTGTATAGCGGATATTTATATTGTAGACAAAATTGGAGAACGATGAAAAAAATGATAAATGTATCTCGATCCGGCATATTTTTATTCGCAGATCGTAATCTTAACACAGGAAACAAAACGTTTGATTTTTCGTGGTGAAAAATATCGATTCTATAAATCGACGAAGGGATCTTGCATATAGCGGATGTTATTTATACTTTAATCAAAGAGCGCGAGAAAGATAAAAATTGATAAATATATCTCGATCTGCGATTAAAAATATCGCAGATCGTAATCTATATTTTGTCTTAAAACCAGAAAAACAGAACGTTTAACTTTCCGTCGTGAAAAAGTATATCGATTCTATAAATTGAGGGATCAGCTGATGTTGTTTATATTATAATCAAAGTTGGAGCATATGAGAAAGATGAGAAACCGGTATATATATATCTCGAGATCTGGGATATTTGAATTCCTAGATCTATCGTAATCTATATTTGCGCTTAAAGCGACATGCGATGTATAATAGCATTAATCCTATTTTGCGCGATTAACGCGAGAGAATTCAGCGACTCTGCTCCTTCGAGCTCTCTATTCTCGGCTTAGGTCGCTTCCGAGCTTGTTACGTTAGTGTACGTAGGCGTAACTATGAGTCTCTCCATCTCTGCGCATTGTATCATCCAGATTACTGGTTACTACGGTAATGTTGAACCGGTAATACGATTGTATAGTTACCCGAGAGGAAATTCTGTCGTCCAACTTTGTCTCTCAGTGGTATTATCCCACTGATAAATTGATTCAAAAATAATGTAATCGGAAGAAGAGATAGATTAAGTGTAAGGAATTCAATTACGTTTCGCAAAAATTAGAGCTGCCTTTGCAACCAAGGCGGCGGGATTCGAGAACGCGATAACTCGAACTGTTTATTTTAGAACTGACAGAGACAAGTTCCGGAGATGACGTGCTTAGCTGGAATATAATTTCGCGCGTCACGTCCGCCTCATAATTTGATCTATTCGGTCATTTTTCGTGCAAAGGATTCATTATTCATCGTAGTTTGTTATATGTAAACTCGTGCCGCGAGGCATTCATACTTCATCATCGTGATTCACAGTGACTTCTTTGACGAACAACTTTTATAATTGAAGAGTTGAGCTTCGCGCGAAAATAATTTTAGCAATAGCTCTCTCTCATCTCTCTATCTCAAGTTCGAGCAGAATCGCTACTATCGATCGTATATGATGCAACATCGCATCTCTTTTTTATTTATATATATTTATCGGTGTAAGAATATCGTTCCATTAATTTAATCGACCAGATCAGATTAATTCATGAATCATTTATGAAGAGATTTTTAATTATTAAATAATTTTTTTCAATTCTTAAATCACTAAAATATGCATTATTTCCTACATTTCGATCGCGCTGCAATTCGTTATTCACCGTCACGGATCCAAATTTCTCGTTATTAATCGAGGAAGGAAGGAAGAGGACAACGTTCATATATAACAATAAAATCGGATGTCGGTCATCTCGATACAACAATGATTACGCGTCTCCGTTTCCTCTCTCTCTCTCTCTCCCTTTTTTCTCTCTGTCTCCGGGATTCGCATTGTATCAAAATGCAATCTGCATCGTCAGAGAGTGAGATTTATGACCGCGATATATATGCGATAAAGTGCATCGCGCGGATGAAGGAAGGGGATCGCAGCTGCATCGAAGTGCAACGATCAGCGGATGAATCGTTCTCCTGCTCTGCCTTCGTTCCTTCGATTCCGGTGGGCGACGTTACGTAATTGCGATCGAAAGATAGAGAGAGGGTGAGAGAAACGTCAAGTTGTGGGGAAGAACTAGCTAAATTCGTTACCCTCGTCTCTCCCAGGGCGCAGTCACGACGCCGATTGCGGAATCGTTCTGTCGCTGCCGCTGCTGCACATCCCGCGTTGGGCGAAATGCAATTTATCGTTTCGCTTTACAGAAGAAGAGAGTCTTAGATGGAGTAGCACTTGATGCAGCACTTCGTGATAGATTCTATTTTCGCAGGGATGCGTTTATACGCGATTCCAACCTTGATAAGGGTCATATTTATCTCTCTTTCTTCCTTTTCTTTTTTTACAGGGTGCATCTAAATAAGGGCGAACAATTTTAGAAGATGATTCTTTGTTAAAAATTAAGGAGGGTTTCTTATGTAAAGTTAAATTCGTTTAAATTAAGTGCTGATAAAAAAATTAAACGATACAGGAAGATCAAAAAAGTATTAATAAATATCCTTTTTATTATAGGGGAAAATATCCCATCCAGTTTCATTTTTTAATTTGTTTGAAATTGGGGAAAAAAATAAAAATTTAATTTTTACTTTCTTCTTTAGAAAACTGTAATTCTTCAAGGAGGGATATATTAGAGTATTTGTTTATACATATAAGAAACCCTTTTTAATTTCGACAAAGAATCATCTCCACCTTTCGGACTTATTTAGATACGCCCTGTATATATGCAATAATTATATTAATTATTTTATGCAAAAAGGAAGAGAGAGAATATGACTAATGTATATTTTCGTTGTTATATTATAATTACATATAATATAAAATAATTATGATATACATTTCTTATATAAAAATTCTCAATATTTTTTATCTTTGCGTGTTGACAATTATCTTGTTGACACAAGGAATAAAAAATAATTGTCAAAATAATTGCCCAAAATTGTTAAAAAATATACGTATCTCCTCTCCTGTTTCTTGCAACACGAACAGGAATTATTTATACGTATTCAAGAGAGACGAGCTTAAAATCTTGTGCAGATTCTTCCGAGTATATTACTTATATTTAAACTGTTTCTTACACACGCTCGACGAATATTTTGTTATTTTGTAAAATTGTCGAATTTTTATTCATATCCCTCTTATTCATTCGTCGTGCGTTTATTTGTGTATGCACATATAAAGATCGCTCGTAAATATAGAAATAATATCCACTAATCTAAATGCGAAAGTTAGTACGATGTGATCTGAGATAACGCTCTGATAACCTCGTAAAATCATAAAAAAATATATACGTAGTTAAATATGTGACATATAACACACTAAACCCGTAATAACATCGATGGGTGACGAGGCTGTATCGGCGTCACAGCATTTTTCTCGGTAATGCACAAGGACAAAACCCGCCTCGTTATCGATAAAACACCGATAACATTCCGCGATTATTCGATCGCGAACGAATTCGGAGAGATTAATCGTTCGTGTCGAATATTGGTTCGCGGGAATTCTCGAAACGCCACGTTTTTTTTTTTTTCACATCGCCGCGCCGCGAGAAATCGTCGTTCATGTGACCTTACATTCGGAACGATCGGTTCGGAGTTGTGCGTCACACTTACGTGAAATTAGGATGAAACACCAATGACGGCAGATGCCGAGAAAAAAACACGCACCGATTGTCAATTCTCTCCCGTTATGGTTAATCGAGCGAATACACAACCGATAAGAGAGAAAGTCGCGACGTCTTTGACGCAATCGCGAACCGCGAAGAGATCGACCTCTCGATAGTTCGTTTATTCGATATCGGATGCCACTATAGCATTGATATCATTCGATATATAATACTATCTTTATATAGTATATTGATAATGTCAAAGGCGAATTCTCGCTCGACACCAAAAATATAATTCAGCTGTGAGATATAAGTCGATGATGCGTTGTTCGTATATTTATTTCGCACGTTTATTTATGACAGACGCGTTGAGATCGATAGACAGAGGTCGAGATGAAGGCGCAGCGATCTATATATAGAGTGTGTGCATAGTGCATATCAAATATGCATAAAGTTAATTGCAAGTTCTCTAAATAAACCGTAGTAATTAGCAAATCAAGAGCGCGCTTGATACGCGAAATTTCTAATACCCGAATCTCGACGAAAATAAATAGCGGTCTCTGATATTTTATATTTGCATAAATGTATGCAAAGTATTTATAAAAAAGGTTGAAAATATCCCGGAGATTTTATTTATTTATTTCTTCTTTCTTTTTATGTGCGCGCTTGGCTAATCAGCTGTTAAATAATTCTCCGAAAATCTTTCATATGCTATATTGTACCTTGTCGCAAACAATAATGTCTAATACAACATTTATTAACAAGTTCCGTTTGTATTGTTGATGGCAGTTTACAGTTCGTTAATAACGCAAATGGTAAACGGAATCACGTTAATCCGAGTAGCCGGCTGCCTATTCGGCAGAATAAAGAGAGGACGAAGGTTTATTTCAACGATAAAAGCAACAATTGAACAAGTTTCCAACATTGTGTATAATGAGATTAAAGATTCAAAGGACTTGGTTCTGATGAACGAGTTATATACTTGCAGATCGTTCATTCATCCGACATAATACAGGGAATTTCTTTTCAACATTCCCTCGTGTTTCTTTTTTGCGCTATATTATGTATACTTCGAACCGACATGTTGCCACAAAATGGTATAACAAAAAATATTGCAACCTAGGAAAAGAATTGCGAAAGCAAAATTATTTTATAACGTGCGGCAGTAATTCGAAATATTTGGGTTTGCTCTCTTTTACACATTATTCGTTATTTATAACTTT